GATTAGCATAGCCCAAGAGTACGTTCCTGTCTTGTTTTAGAGACTGTCTACGTAGTTCTTGACACCGTCTTCCTCTGCAGCTAATTAAGAGCTGAGAAATAACAGCAGGGAGTCTCTGAGCAATCTGTGGTTTTAACTCAGAGCCAGACTGAAGGAGAGGCATGGAAAAAAATGCTGACTACTTAATATTATTGTGTCATTTCCTTTTAGGTTAAATTTTGGCTAATCAGCATCCTTTTCAAATTTTTTTTTCTTGGCATAGTTCAAATTCTTCCTCCACCGCGTCATTGGCCAGCAACTCTCCAAAGATGGGAGCAGGTGATTGGGCCGTGCCGCAGGCCTCAAGACTCAAGTACCGTCAGCAGTTCAACACACTGGACAAACTAATGACTGGCTACTTGTCAGGTTGTCATACACACACACACGCACCCACGCACACACACACACACACACACACACAAGGGTGGAACAACCTAAATACACACAACAGTCCCAGCACCACTTGGCTGCATGAGTGGTCTTGTCAAAGTTTGTCGAGTCAGACTCTGGGCCAGTTTTATTCTGCAGACATGCTCTTGTGTCCCGACGATGCACGCACTCACACACACATACACAAGCACCCCACAATCCCTAATGCCAAGTGAATTAAAGGGAAATTCCACCCCTGAGTGAAATTTTGTATGTTGTATTCCTCTGAGTTAGATAAGTGGGCAAAAGCATTTTGTAACCGCCCATGCGATTCTCCTAACCTGGCAGTACTCTGTTTGCTTTAGCTTAGCATAAACAATGTACGTAAATGGTAACAGCTAGCATTTCAATCTTTCAAATTGAAAAGACACCTACTTTAGTGAACACAAATGCATGGCTACTAGGCTTATACCAGGTACAGTGTTATAGGAACAGCATAGGTAATAAGTTGTACTAAAATGGCCGAGTACATAATGGCGTAGGTGTGTTTTGGTGCCCAGCGGCAGCTTACAGAGGTGCTTTGTCATAATGTAGCCCCAAGTCTAAATAAGTCTCCTTTAATTCCTTTGAATCCCTTATACTTTTCATTTCAATTCAATTTTATTTATGTAGCGCCAAATCACGACAAGAGTCGTCTCAAGGACCTTCACATAATAAACATTCCAATTCAGGCCAGTTCATTAAGCCAATCAGAAATAATGTTTCCTATATAAGGAACCCAGCAAATTGCATCGAGTCACTGACTAGTGTCAGTGACTATACAGCAATCCTCATACTAAGCAAGCATGCAGCGACAGTGGAGAGGAAAACTCTCTTTTAACAGGAAGAAACCTCCAGAGAATCCTGGCTCAGTATAAGCAGCCATCCTCCACGACTCACTGGGGATGGAGAAGACAGAGCAGACACACACACACACACACACACACACACGCACACGCACACGCACACACACACAGACAAGTAATGTGTCTATAGTTATATTGTGATTTCTTAGTAAATATTCTATTTGGTGACAGCCACCACAGCTCAGCAGAACATCGTTGTAGCTTCTTCTGGGGAGAAAAACACTTAGAGAGAAAATAAAGTTAACAGCTGAAATAGCAGGAAATAATACAGTTAAAGAGCAGACTGTAGAAGAAAGCAGTAGAGTGTGGAAAGTGGTCAGTGTGTCCTCCAGCAGTCTAAGCCTATAGCAGCATAACTACAGAGATAACTCTGGATAACCTAGCCTTTTAGATGGAGGCATGTTGGAGGCAGGGCAAGGGAGAACCGGTGTCGGTACAGGATCTGCTCGGGTGCAAAATCGGCTCGGGGTTCGTTGACTGCCGATGACATCTAAGTAGTTGATTGGCTGAACATGAACCTCACGGAATTACGTAATCACGTTACGTTGGTCCAGGCAAATCGTTCTGTTGGAAAGATAGACAACTTTTACAAAGAAATCCATCATTACCTCTTTGAAAATACACTTTTAGCATAGAGCTGCATGTATATTAGGGCTGAACGATTAACTGCATGTGCAATTCAATTAAATTGCGATGTGACAAAAGGAGATTTTCTAATCGCAAAGGCTGCAATTTGGCAGCAAGTGGTTAGCGCAATGCTAATATACATGGAAAAACCCATAGGAATGCTAATGCTAATATCACCAATTACATTATTACAAATTATGAATTAGAAACGTGCCAAATGATTACATTTGGAGTCTAATAGAAAGTAAAACTACCATCAATCAAATAAGTACAGACAGGTATTTTATTAAAGCCAGAAAACTTTTAACTCCAGAGTTTTGGCTAGCAGCTATGAGCGTAACTGAACTACGCATGGACAAGACATCAAAAACTGTAAACACAAAATACTTCAATAAACGGGACACACTTCTTTCCTGCAAATACAATTTCACAGGTGTTGCTAATACCTATGATCCTTCAAGGGATGTGCTCAAAGAGGAGTTCAACATTATGAATAAAATAGTGTTTTATTTTACAAATGCCATTATAAACACAAACTTACGTCTTAAGAAACATTATTTTAACAACGAAACTGCTAAATTCTTTCCAACAGTATAGATGTGTAGTGTATTTTGTCCGAGTGGGTTTGCCGTACTTTGACGTCATCAGCAGATGAAGGACCCCGAGCCAATTTTGCACCCGAGCAGATCTTGTACCGACACCGTCTTTACCGACTGTACACTCCACCTCCCTCTACTCCCCCACTTGTCCAGATTTAGGCTAACATCAGATTTTAACCATAGGCCCTATCAAATAAAAATGTTTTAAGCCTATTCTTAAAAGTAGACAAGGTGTCTGCCTCACGGACTAAAGCTGGGAGCTGGTTCCACAGGAGAGGAGCCTGATAACTAAAAGATCTGCCTCCCATCCTAATTTTAGATATTCTGGGAACCACCAGTAGACCTGCAGTCTGAGAGTGAAGTGCTCGGTTAGGAACGTATGGAACAATCAGATCACTGATGTATGATGGAGCTTGATTATTAAGAGCTTTATATGTGAGAAGGAGGATCTTAAAATCTATTCTGAATTTAACAGGTAGCCAATGTAGGGAAGCTAAGACAGGAGAGATATGATCTCTCTTTTTAATCCTCATCAGAACTCTAGCTGCAGCATTTTGGACAAGCTGAAGACTTTTAACTACATTCTGTGGACTTCCTGAGAGTAATGAATTACAGTAATCCAGTCTTGATGTAATGAATGCATGAACTAGTTTTTCAGCATCACTTCTGGAAAGTATGCTTCTAATCTTAGCAATAATCCGAAGGTGGAAAAGGGAAATCCTACAAACCTGTTTAACCTGGGATTTGAATGACATGTCCTGGTCAAAGATAACACCAAGGTTCCTTGCTTTGTTCTCAGAGATTAATGTAATGCCATTCAGGTCAGGCGACTGGCTAAGCAATTTCCTTTTCTGGATTTCTGGTCCAAAGATGAGAACTTCCGTCTTGTCTTGATTTAAAAGCAAAAAGCTTAGAATCATCCAATGTTTTATGTCCTCAAGACAAGCCTGTAATCTACCCAACCGATTAGGTTCATCAGGGTTAATGGATAAATATAACTGAGTATCGTCAGCATAACAATGGAAGTTTATCCCATGCTGTCTAATGATTTTACCAATTGGGAGCATATATATAGTAAAAAGAATTGGTCCAAGCACTGAACCCTGTGGTACTCCACAAGTAACCCTGGAGTATGAAGAAGATTTGTCCATTTACAAAATGAAATCTGTCAGACAGGTAGGATTTAAACCAGCCTAACGCTGTTCCTTTGATCCCTACAACATGTTCAAGTCTTTCTAAAAGAACATTGTGATCAACTGTGTCAAAGGCAGCACTGAGATCTAACAAGACTAGAACAGACACAAGATTCTTATCTGAGTCCATGAGAATATCATTTGTAACTCTCACTAATGCAGTTTCAGTGCTGTGATACTCTCTAAAACCAGACTGAAATTCCTCAAACAGAGCATTAGTGTTTAAATGCTGACATACTTGGATGGCCACTATTTTCTCCAGGACTTTGGATAAAAATGGAAGATTAGATATTGGTCTATAATTCATTGGGTCATCTGGATCCAGAGAAGGCTTCTTAAGTGAAGGTTTGATTACAGCAACCTTAAAATCTTGTGGTACATACCCATTTACTAAGGATAGATTGATTATATCTAGAATGGGGGCAGTAACCAAAGGAAATGCATCTTTAAATAATTTGGTTGGGATTGGATCCAAAATGCAAGTTGAAGGTTTAGATGAAGCTAATATTTTTGATAACTCTGAAAGCTCAACTGGATCAAAACGGTTCAAGCACAGATGAGGTTCTAGAATCACCTCTGAAGCTGCCTCACTTACTGAGGAAGAAGAAATTGCATTAGGGAGGTTGCTAAAGATTTTGTTTCTAATAGAATTAATTTTACTTGTAAAAATCCCATGAAGTCATTGCTGCTGAGGGCTAAGGGAAAAGATGGCTCAGAGCTACGATTCTGTGTAAGTTTAGCAACTGTACTGAAAAGAAATTTAGGATTATGCTTATTCTCCTCAATTAATGCTGAAAAATAAGCAGTTCTAGTTTGTTGAAGCTTATTTTTATAAAGCAAAAGACTATTTTTCCAGGATAGGTAGGCCTCCTCATGGTACGTAGAGCGCCATGTTCTCTCCAATTTCCTAGAGTTTTGTTTTAAGGCTCGTAGATGAGAGTTAAACCAGGGAGCCAACTTCCTGTCCCTAATTACCTTCTTTTTTAAAGGGGCAACATCATCTAATGCCACACGTAAAGAGGAATTAACATGATGAACTAAGGCATCAATTTGTGAGGGGCTAGAACTGAAAATATTGCCCTCTGCTACGTTCCTCTGAGATGCTGAGGACAGTAAAGATGGAACAATTGATTTAAAAGATGCAACTGCGTTGTCAGATAGAGACCGACTATAGTGAAATTTACTTTCATGTCTCGAGAACTCAGTTATAAAAAACTCAAAGGTCATCAGAAAGTGGTCCGAGAGGACTGGATTATGTGGAAAGATCGTTATTTCCTCACACTCTATGCCATAAGTCAGCACAAGGTCCAATGTATGATGGCAGGAGTGGGTGGAGCTATGTATTATGCGGGTAAAACCAATTGAGTCAAAGATATTACTAAAGGCTACACTGAGGCTATCATTTTCAATGTCCACATGAATATTAAAATCCCCCACTACAATGACCTCATCAGTATTTAGCACCAAATCTGATAAAAAATCAGAGATCTGATCCAAAAACTGAGAGTAAGGGCTTGGTGGACGATATAAAACTACAAACAAGAGTGGTTTTACAGTTTTGCAATCTGGATTAGGAAAACTAAGAATAAGATGTTCGAATGAACTGTAGCTATTAATTGGTATTTGCAGTTGATATGAGTAGTGAAGCCACCAAGAAAAATTTGGATCATTATTGAGTCATTTTTATGACTTTTTGACACAAAATGCTAGCTGTTACCATTCACCCACATTGTTTATGCTAAGCTAAAGAAATATTAAACTCTGAGGATTATGGCAACTAAATATCACCTATGGGTGGAATATCCATTTAAAGGCCTATCATTATCACCAGCCAAGTTTTATGCCAGATTTAAACTAAGACCACTTTATGTCAAGATTTGATGAACTTAGGTGTTTTGGTCAAATCATGACAATAACATAATTTCAAACCTCAAGATGTCTGCTTGCGGATGACTCTCAGCTGCGAGCCCCTCTAATTTTAGCTCAGATTTAGTACATTTTACTGAGGTATAGACATGTCGGTGTTGGCTTCGGCGGATGACTTAAATTGGCTTGACTCCAAAAGTTAGTCAGTGGTAGATCCAGTGAATTATTTCTGAGTTTCATTTAAATCCTGGAACCCCAGATACACTGTAAAAATATGATTTTATAGAATGGTAAATGGCCTGTATTTGATATAGTGCCTTCTAGAGTCTCAGAACCCCCCAAGGTGCTTTACAACACAACCAGTCATTCACCCATGCATACACACATTCACACACTGATGGAGAAAGTAAAAAGCCTTGCATTATAAGACAGTGACCCATTTTAGTGTTTTAATGTGTTCTTAGTATTCCTCATGTTTTATCTGCTTTTGATCGGTATTCGTATCTTCTGTTTGAGTTGCTTAGATTGGTCGTGTTTTGGTTTAGCCTGTGCAGCACTTTGGGCAGCTCCCATGCTGCGTTTTAAATGTGCCATATAAATAAACTATGGTGTGGTATATCTTGTTTTTACTCAGTGTAATACAACATTTAGATGAATTTGCTATAAGAACTCTAGCCAAGAATACCTTCGCTTTCCGTGTGAAAATGGGTTCCTATTTAGGGATAAGTTATTAAGCAAATAAGAAAAGATTTTCTCTTTAGACTGACGATAGTCAAAATGTTTATAAACATTTTTTTTTGTTTTTTTCTTTACTCTCTCAAACACATTTTTTTTGCAGTGTATGGGTGTTTTTGGTAGCAACTGACGTTAAAGCTGCTGTTAATTCCAATGAAATAACTGTTTTTTTTCTTTAACTTTTCAGGACCTCAGGTTAGAAACGTGCTAATGGCCTCAAACTTGACCCAAACTCAGCTAGCTACCATCTGGTACGTATCACCTGATATAAAAGTCACACTTATTAACTTTTATCATTCTCTGCACAAAGTGTCTACATGCTGGTGAAGACAGGAAAAGAACTGTCCAACAGGAAGTGTTTCTGGTTGTCCTGTTGAGACTTGACTCAGATGATTTGTTTCTCAAACATGATGCTGGATTAAGCGGTGGATTCATTTCTTCCTGCATAAAGACTTAGAGCTGGAAGCACGACATCACCCTGTTAGAAAAACCTGCCTCACATAAAAAAACAAAAGGAGATTTTCTTAGTGTGATTTATTTTTATGAGAAAGCCATAAAAAATTAGAAATCTGTTGGTTTTTGTTAGTCTTTATATTTTCAGGCTCCCTTCTTTTCTTTCTTTTTATTTTCATTTTTATTCTTGCTTTTTAATCTTAATTTTAATTTCATGTTCTTTATTTTTTTGTTATTGTTTTTGTTATTATGAGCAGAGGTGGAAAGTAACCAATTACATTTACTTACGTTACTGTAATTGAGTAGATTTTTTGTATATTTATGCTTTTTTCATTTTTAAAATCTGTACTTTTACTTGAGTATTTTTTTAAAGAATTGTACTTTGATACATTTTCAATCATATCTGTTACTAAGTAAAACGATATGTTCAATGTAGTTAGATTAGTAATTCAAATGATTCTAAAATGCTGCACTGTGTGTGTGTGTGTGTGTGTGTGTGTGTGTGTGTGTGTGTGTGTGTGTGTGTGTGTGTGTGTGTGTGTGTGTGTGTGTGTGTGTGTGTGTGTGTGTGTGTGTGTGTGTGTGTGTGTGTGTGTCTGTATGTGTGTGTGTGCGTGTGTGTTTGTATGTGTGCGTGTGTGTTTGTATGTGTGTGTGTGTGTGTATGTGTGTGTGTGTGTATGTATGTGTGCGTGCGCGCGTGTTTGTGCATGCGCACAGTGAGCATGTTGTGATTTAGCTCTACTTAAGTGTAACCATCCTTACGATGGCAAAAATGTAACTAAGTAACTTTTACTTTTTCTTTTCCTTGAGTACATTTTATTTATGATACTTTTTACTTTACGTGAGTAAAAAATTTAGGCAAGTACTTTTACTTGTACTTGAGTAAAAAATCCTCAAAGTACTGGTACTTGTAGTTAAGTAGTTAACTTTCCACCTCTGATTATCAGTACATTTTAAAATGTGTCGGTGGGCTTGTGAGGCACCTAGGGTCTTCGTGTTAGGACAAACACATGTAAGGAATACGTTTAACCTCCTAAGACCGTGTCTGTGTCCACCTATGTGGACGTAGACCTCTTGCACTAAGAGACACTCAGTATCGACTTGAAGATTAGAGAAGACGTAACGGTGCCGTTAGATGCTGATCCCTCATCAATCTCTGTGTTGTTTGTAATTAGGAGTCTGGCGGATGTGGATCAGGACGGTCAGCTTCGGGCTGATGAGTTCATTCTGGCCATGCAACCTGTGGAGACGGCGAAGACGGGACGTCCTCTACCTCTCTCACTCCCTCAGGAGTTGATACCTCCCTCACTGAGGTAGCACACACACAGTTTCTAAATGTGAAAGACCTGTGGGAAATCAACACCGTCTTGTTTTTGTCTCCTTCCCAGAGGAGGACTAAAGTCCACCGAGCTCGTTAACGGAACCGGTCCCTGCGTGGTTCCCAGTTTAATCGACACGCCAGAGGTGGAACCTGCACAGAAGAGCAAGAGCAGTGGTACGTATGATCGGTTCTCCGTGTTTAGTCGGGGTTTCAGGACGGTCTTCGGCGTCACGCCTGTCTCTTCCTCCTCTTCTTAGTGTCCTACGAGGACAAGCTGAAGGAGAACTTTGCGCGAGGCAGCGCTGAGCTGGAGAAAAGGGCGGGCTGGCTCTGGAGGAGGAGCAGAGGAAGGAGAGGGAGAGGATGAGAGCGGGAGGAGAGGGAGGAGAGAGAACGGAGGGAGAGGGAGGTGAGGGGAGATGGAGAACCGGAGGAGGCTGGAGGAGGAGAGGCGATTGGAGAGGCAGCAAGAGGTGTGGAGCGACAGAGGGAGGAGGACAGGCTGAGAGAGCTGGAGAGGAAGGAGGTGAGTGGGAGAATACGTGAGGGGAAACGTGTCGCCTCTGGTTTAACCTCTTCACCTCCATCCAATCAGACGGCCAAGCAGGAGATGGAGCGCCAGAGGAGGGAAGAGTGGGAGCGACGGAAGAGAGAGGAGCTGGGGGAGGAGGAAAGAGGAGGAGCAGGAGGAGATATCTCGACTCCCGCGCCAAAAAGACGAGTCTGGAGCTGGAGCTGGAGGCAGTGGTCAGACTGGGAGAACGCTGATTAGCATACATGTGAACTGAAACACGCGTTAAACTCTGTCCTCTGGTCGCCCAGGGCAACAAGCACAAGCAGATCTCAGACCGCCTCCGAGACGCTCAGAGCACGAGGAGGATCCAGAAGGCTGAGGTGGACCTCATCAATCAGAGGAGAGACGCACGCATCGCTGAGATCAACACGCTTCAGCTGCAGTTTGAGGTTCATTAGATGTTTCCCTCAGCCCTGAGGGGTCTGGGTTGGTTCTGTGGTGATGTTCGGTTTGGCTTCAGCAGGACTGGCAGAGGAAGCTCTCGCAGCTCGGTCCAGAGCAACAGCCTGCTCACCGAGAAACTGAGAAGCATCAGCCTCAACGAACTCCCCAGTGAGTGGCTTTCACCTCAATGACCTCAAGATGTTGCACGTCTCTGACCTCTGACCTTCGCTTTTCAGCCGTGACGCTGACCTCCGTGACTGGCGACGTGACGGAGAAGAGCGTGAACTGCCGCAGACTGAAGGATCAGCTGGATGTTCTGGAAAAGGAGACGACAGACAAGCTGGCCCAGATGGAGCAGTACAGCAAGGAGCTGAAGGTCAGGGGTCAGGGGTCAGACGTGGACCCTGAGTTTTGCTTTCTGCTTCTTCCTTGTGGCAGAATGTCAGACTGTGAATTATTTAAGACTCTGTGTTCCGCTCCGCTGAGGGAACCAAGCTGTTGTCTTGTTTTATTTCTGAGGTGTGATGAACGTTCAGACCAGATTCTGCTTCTAGAGCTTCTAACGCCTCTCTCCTCTTTCCCTCCTCGCTGCGATTCCTGGATCTTTCCATATTTTCTTTTTATTTGACATACATGTATGACTTTTTTCCTCCATCTTTATTTATTCTTCCTCCCTTTCTCCTCATCCTCTCCTCCATCGCTACACCACCTTTCTCCTCCTAGCTTGGGGACATGGATGACTGCGTCCTGCGAGGCCTTCTCTCCCTGCTGGCCTGCCTCAGCCAGCTCTTCCTCCTCATCAAGGTTATCCCTCCTCTCCCTCCTCTTCTCTCCTCTCCCCCTCCTCTCCTCTCCTCTCCTCTCCTCTCTCCTCTCCCCTCCTCTCCTCTCCTCTCCTCTCCTCTCTCCTCTCCTCTCCCCTCCTCTCCTCTCTCCTCCTTTCCTCTCCTCTCTCCTCCCCTCCTCTCCTCTCCTCTCTCCTCCCCTCTCTCCTCTCTCCTCCCCTCCTCTCCTCTCCTCTCTCCTCCTCTCCTCTCCTCTCCCCTCCTCTCCTCTCTCCTCTCTCCTCTCCTCTCCCCTCCTCTCCTTTCCTCTCCTCTCTCCTCCCCTCCTCTCCTCTCCTCTCTCCTCCCCTCTCTCCTCTCTCCTCCCCTCCTCTCCTCTCCTCTCTCCTCCCCTCTCTCCTCCTCTCATCTCTCCTCCCCTCTCTCCTCTCTCCTCCTTTCCTCTCCTCTCTCCTCCCCTCTCTCCTCTCTCCTCCCCTCCTCTCCTCTCCTCTCTCCTCCCCTCTCTCCTCCCCTCTCTCCTCCTCTCATCTCTCCTCCCCTCTCTCATCTCTCCTCCCCTCTCTCCTCTCTCCTCCTTTCCTCTCCTCTCTCCTCCCCTCCTCTCCTCTCTCCTCCTTTCCTCTCCTCTCTCCTCCTCTCCTCTCCTCTCCCCTCCTCTCCTTTCCTCTCCTCTCTCCTCCCCTCCTCTCCTCTCCTCTCTCCTCCCCTCTCTCCTCTCTCCTCCCCTCCTCTCCTCTCTCCTCCTTTCCTCTCCTCTCTCCTCCTCTCCTCTCCTCTCCCCTCCTCTCCTTTCCTCTCCTCTCTCCTCTCCTCCTCTCCCCTCCTCTCCTCTCTCCTCCTCTCCTCTCCTCTCCTCTCCCCTCCTCTCCTCTCCTCTCTCCTCTCTCCTCCCCTCCTCTCCTCTCTCCTCCTTTCCTCTCCTCTCTCCTCCTCTCCTCCTCTCATCTCTCCTCCCCTCCTCTCCTCTTCCCTCCCTCCTCTCCCTCTCCCCTCCTCTCCTCTCCTCTCTCCTCTCTCCTCCCCTCCTCTCCTCTTCCTCCTCTCCTCTCCTCTCTCCTCCTTTGCTCTCCTCTCTCCTCCTCTCCTCCCCTCTCTCCTCCTCTCATCTCTCCTCCCCTCCTCTCCTCTCTCCTCCTCTCCTCTCCCTCCTCTCCTCTTCCCTCCTCTGCTCTCTCCTCCTTTCCTCTCCTCTCTCCTCCTCTCCTCCCCTCTCTCCTCTCTCCTCCCCTCCCCTCCCTTCCTCTCCTCCTTCCCTCCTCTCCTCTCTCCTCTCCTCTTCCTCCCTCTCTCCTCTCCTCCTTCCTCTCCTCTCCTCTCCCTCCTCCTCCCTCCTCCTCTCCCTCCTCTCCTCTCCCCTCCTCTCCTCTCCCTCCTCCCCTCCCCTCCTCTCATCTCTCCCTCCTCTCCTCTCTCCTCCTTTCCTCTCCTCTCCCCTCCTCTCCTCTCCCCTCCTCTCCTCTCCCCTCCCCTCCTCTCATCTTCCCTCCTCTCCTCTCTCCTCCTTTCCTCTCCTCTCCTCCTCCTCTCCTCCTCCCCTCCCCTCCCCTCCTCTCCTCCTCTCCCCTCCCCCCCCCTCCTCTCCCCTCCCCTCCTCTCATCTCCTCTCCCCTCCCCTCCCCTCCCCTCCCCTCCTCTCATCTCATCTCATCTCATCTCCTCCCCTCCCCTCCCCTCCTCTCCTCTCCCCTCCTCTCCCCTCCCCTCTCCTCCCCTCCCCTCCCCTCCCCTCCTCTCATCTCCTCTCCTCCTCTCCCCTCCTTTCCTCTCCTCTCCCCTCCCCTCCCCTCCCCTCTCCTCTCCTCCCCTCCCCTCCCCTCCCCTCCCCTCTCCTCTCCTCCTCTTTTCTCCTTTTTCTTTCTCCTTTTCTCCTTATCCTCCTTTTCCACGCATCACCACTCTGGTTTGAACACGGAGCGCTGCTTCGTAGCTCGTCTCTAGTCTGTGTTGTTTTGTGGTCGCTCCCCTCCAAGGGGCTTGTTCCAGGCTGCAGTTTCACTGTAAACAAGATGCTCCCTGAGGGTAAAACACACACTTACAGAATGCTAAGCCTGCTCCATGTGTGTTGCAGAACAACCGTGTGTTTGCATGTTCCTCTGCTCTGCATGTTTGTCCCAACAAAGATGTTTAAACTACTTCTTTGGGAGTCCTAATGGTGTCAGAGGCGTTTTCCTGTGTCCTCCACATGCTGGCGTCTGCATCAGGAGCTGAGGGAAAAGCAGGTGAAGCAGCAGGCCGTCCTGGACGACCTGCACAGAGTCAAAGAGGAGAAACTGAGGGAGATGCAGAGGCGCAGAGAGGAGGAGAGAGAAAGGAGGAGGAAGAGTGAGGAAGAAGAGGCAGCCAGGTGAATCCAAGAGGCTTTTATTCATCTCTGTCCTTTGGCTTGATGGTGTTTTGCTCAAAGTCAATCTCGTTACCCAACAGACGAGCAAAGCTGGAGCAAGAGAGGCGAGAACGGGAGCAAAAGGAGCAGGAAAAGAGAGAGAGGGAGGAGGAGGAAGCCCGGCAGAGGAGGCTTCAGGAGGAGCAGAAGGCCAAGCAGAAGGAGGAGGAGGAGAGGCAGGCCGTGGCTCGCCTAAGAGCTGCTCAGGAGAAAGCACAGGAGGAGGAGAGGAGAAGAAGACAGAAGGAGGAGGAGAGGAGAAGAAGACAGGAGGAGGAGGAGGAGGAAAAGAAGAAAAAGATGGAGGAGGAGGAGAGACGAAAAGAAGAAGAAGAGAGGAGGAAGGAGGAGCAGGAAGGAGCACAGCTGACCACATACCGAGCCCTGTACTCCTTTGTTGCCCGTAACGCAGACGAGCTGAGCATAGATGCACACGGTCTTATAGAGGTACGGCTCCATCGTGGCACACCCCACCTCCTTCATTAGCTAATGCTAATGCTAAATCAGCATCCGCATTAGCTAATGCTAAATCAGCACACCCACCTCCTTCATTAGCTAATGCTAATGCTAAATCAGCATCCGCATTAGCTAATGCTAAATCAGCATCAGCATTAGCTAATGCTAAATCAGCATCAGCATTAGCTAATGCTAAATCAGCACACCCACCTCCTTCATTAGCTAATGCTGATGCTGATTTAGCATTAGCTAATGCTAAATCAGCATCAGCATTAGCTAATGCTAAATCAGCATCAGCATTAGCTAATGCTAAATCAGCACACCCACCTCCTTCATTAGCAAATGCTAATGCTAAATCAGCATTAGCATTAGCTATTGCTAAATCAGCATCAGCATTAGCTAATGCTAAATCAGCATCAGCATTAGCTAATGCTAAATCAGCACACCCACCTCCTTCATTAGCTAATGCTGATGCTGATTTAGCATTAGCATTAGCTAAATCAGCGTTCGAGCCCTGCTCCCTTCTGAAACACACACAATAGTGTTTTATTTTAAAGTCGTAGCAACATTCATATTCGCCGCCAGTCAGGTTGATGCTATCATTAGCGGTCTCAAAAAGATCATCTTTGCTATTTTTATGACCTATAAAGGCTTTTTTGTTATGATTTAATCGTTTAGAAAATAAAAATCCTGCAAAAAGTCCAATTTTTAGGTTTCTTCCATTTGGAGATGAGTCGGTCATTTACTCACTAACCGGGATTTTCTTTCAGACGTTTGTGCAAATGTGTCTCACAACACTCACACACACACACACACACACACACACACACACACACACACACACACACACACACACATTAGTGTATCTAAACACATTACTTCCTGTTGCTCGGGTGCAGACATACCTGTTCATCCTCTGACGGAGGCCTTGATACGTGTGATTGATGATTCAGGTGGATGAGCACACTGTTGGAGAGCCTGGATGGTTGTTTGGGAGTTACCATGGAAACCGTGGCTGGTTTCCCCAGAGTTACGCTGAGAAGTGTCCCACACCGTCCCCTTTGGCATCTTCTGCATCCTCACCCGGGAAAGCGTCCGGGCCACCTCCGACGCTAAAGGCTAGGTAACACTTGATCCTTCCTCTGACTGCTGCAGGCTTCCAGAGGGAGTTAATCCTCCATGTTGTGTTCTACAGAGACTCTGGTGTGGAGGAGGAGGGCGACAACACAGCTTCTGCCCTCTCAGACGCTCCACAGGTCAGAAAGACTTGATTTTTATTTCCAGCGTAAATAACCCATTATAGTCATTCCTTCTCGTCTCTAAGTTCTTCTAGTACATTTGGTAGGTTTTCATCAAAGACATTAAACCATTGACCCAGCTGCTGTGTCTCCATACATCTGTCATAATAAGTCATAGCTTAGTCCCTTCAGTGGGCGGGGAGAGCGGCTGCGTGACGTAAAAAGCAGCGTTCACGTCGCTTATTTTCCTTTCCGCTTCGCCAGCAACCCTTCCTGTGTTAAAAATGCGTCTTGTTTGGTGGCATCTGATGATGTCATTTCTTACTGAGTTACAACCAGTCAGCATCAGTCAACCACATGTCCCGCCTCCACCTGTACATTTCTGAGTACAGAGCCCAGTTCAGGTACTCCGTTGGTCCCTGAAATGGTTCTTTCAGACTGATGAAAATCCAGGGCGTTTTCTCTGATGGCACCATCTAGAGGCTGAAACATGTATTGCACCACAAGCCATTCTCCCCACTTCCATGATTAGGCAGGGAGTGGTGCCGCTAGCAGAGCTAAGCGCGTTGTTTTACAGTGTTTATTCTTGCGTTATGTCTGCGAGCACATGTGCCAGTTCTGTGACGGACATCTGTATGGATGAACGCTATTGGCCAGTGCTGAGTGGCACTCACTTCAAATAGCATTGGGCTCTGCGGGGCAGAGGACAGGATAAGACTTTTACAGGTTTCTACAACATCATACTAAATACTAGCCTGGCAAGCCACTGATGGCTCTCAGTCGTTGGGCGGGGTCTCTGCATGTTAGTGGACAACAGCAATGTAACGTAGTCACCGCGTTGGACGCCAGTGGGCGGGGCAGTCCACCATACGCTACTGAAGATGACGCAAATAAAAGACTTAAGTACAGGGCTGCCAACTGTTTGAGCAGGAGACGCGCGCACCTGATCGTCCTCCCACGCTCCTATGCCACGCCTCCACCCTCTCACGCTTGGAGAAGTGGGCAGTCCTGTAAGTACCTCCATCTGCTCTTGACTCAAACAAAAGCCTGAGTCTACACAGTCCAAGGTTTATGCCAAAGTCATTTCAAATGAGCCTCCGCCATCTTAGTTTGGCTCTGTCGCAGTAACATCCCGCCCACCAAACAGAGCGCTGTGATTGGACCAGCAACAGACTGTGTGGGACTGTGCATGTTCCACTGGAGCGTGGCTAGACCGACATGCAGAGCAAAATCAGTTGGCTCCGCCTGCCGTCCGTCTAGATCCTCGGCTGTCACACCAGAGAGGAGGAAAACGTTTAACGACTACGTAAACACGGTATTGTTCTCATTTTCATCATAACATTCAGTGTTCAGTCAGTTTATGTAGTTTATCTGCTGCCTCTGGAGCAGAAGTGGGTCACACACACACACACACACACACACACACACACACACACACACACACACACACACACACGCACACGCACACGCACACACACACACACACACACACACACACACACACACATATACACACACACACACACACACACACACAGACACACACACACACACACACACACGTACACACACACACACACACACACACACACACACACACACACACACACACACACACACACACACACACACACATATACACACACACACACACACACACACACACACAGACACACACACACACACACACACACGTACACACACACACACACACACACACACACACACACACACACACACACACACACACACACACACACATACACACACACACACACACACACACACAAGGCTATATATTTATAGCTTTTCTCTGCTGGGAGTTCTGCTCTCTGCCTCTCTGGGGGTCAAACATACGAGCACTTCTGTCCGCCTGCAGCAGCTGACGTCCGTGGTAGCGGGGACGCCATCTGCTGGCTGTCGTGGTCTGAACAGCCAGGTAAGGGTGTTTTACAGGCTGAGCTGAATGATCTCATCCTGTCCTCTTTCACCAGCCGTCGGGTTCTCTGCTTGCCCGCGCCGTCTCTTCTTGGTCAGCCACCTCAGAAACTCTCCTCAGTCCTTCCTCCGACGCTAGTAGCGCGCTGCTGAGCTTCTCGCAGGGCGACGCCATCAGCGTGCTGCAGCAGAGGGACGACTGGTGGTTCGGACAGCTCAACGGGATGCAGGGATGGTTTCCTCAAACGTGCGTCACGCTGGAGGCTGCTGGGAACCCAGAGTAGGAAGATTTGCTAAAATAAATGTAAATTTACAAATAAACTTCATTTATTATTTGTATTTAGCTAAATATCTGTTATTTTGTCATAGCTTGGCCTCGCTGGACTCGTGTGACCCCGCTCAGCTAGAAGGTGAAAACACAGCACCTTCAGTAAAACTCAGCGGTGGTTAAATCCAGCTGGAGTGACGGTCTGATGCCTGTTTCTAATAGAGTACGTGGCCTTGTACACGTATGAGAGCCCGGAGACGGGTGACCTGACTTTTGCGGAGGGGGACGTTGTCATGGTAACAGAGAGAGAGGGAGAGTGGTGGCGGGGATGCATCGGTGACCAGACGGGAGTGTTTCCCTCCAACTACGTGCGACCTGTTGAGCCCGAGGTGAGTCGGGTCGCATCAACAGTAAAATACACTTTTAATTAATAAATGATTTTATTATCATGTTTATTCATCATGTAATGATCATGTGTACAACTGTAAATGTGTCCGAAATACTGATTCTAGTAAATGTGTTGTTGTTTTTATATGATGTTAGGGATCAAGACCTGGAGTTCCAAACAAAAGACCCGGTGAGAAAAAGTCACGAACCCGGTGATCATCTCCTTTATCTGATCACAACTCTTTATGGACTGTTTGCTTGTTTGTTTGTTTGTTTGTTTGTTTTTGCAGCAGAGATAGCTCAGGCCATCACCTCCACCCTGGCCCCAGCAGCATATCGGCTGTGCCTGTCTCCGGGGCAACTGGTTGTGGTCCGGGCCAAGAACTCCACCGGCTGGTGGCTGGGGGAACTGCAGGTCTCTAACCCAAACCCGACACTTCAGAACCAGAGCAGCTGAACTCATCATCACGTGTTTGCAGGTTCGGGGTAGAAAGCGTCAGAAAGGCTGGCTTCATTCGTCTCACGTCAGACTCCTGGGACCGTCCAGCAGCAAGTCGTCTCCGAGTCCTCTGCCAGGTCAGACGGCAACATCCTGCCGCCCTCCAGTTTGACTCTTCAATGAAAACGATGAATATTTACAACTTTCACTGTTTTAACTGCAAATTAAAAGTGACATAAAAATATGAGTTATATTTATGACGTAGATTAAAGGTTATCTTATAGCTAATAAACCCGCTAAGCTAACGAACCGACCCTCTCCTCTTCACCTCCTCTGACCTCTAGTGTGCCAGGTCATTGCCATGTATGATTACGCCGCCGCCAACCAGGACGAGCTGAGCTTCTCCAAGGGTCAGCTGATCAACGTCCTGGACAAGACCAGCCCCGACTGGTGGAAGGGAGAAGCCAACGGCGTCACGGGCCTGCTGCCCACCAATTATGTCACGATGACAACAGAGTCTGATCCCAGCCAGCAGTGTGAGTGAGCGTCGTGGTTTTAGTGCTTCTCTAGAGGCGACGCGCTTCCGTTGCTCCGTTTGAGAGGAGAACGGACGATTGGCATGAGCAGCTGGAATTCCCGTGGGAGGAATAATCTGGAGAACAGCAGCAATGTGTCTCTTAGCCGGAAACCCATTGTTGCTCCTCTGCTGATTATTCTGTGCAGTAAATTCCACACTGGAGCGTGTGCACACCCGTGGTGAGCCCCGAGCTCCTCGTCTTCAACGGGAGCGTGTGCACACCCGTGGTGAGCTCCGAGCTCCTCATCTTCAACGGGAGTAGGTGAACTTCTAATGAGGAAACCCCAAAGACTCGATCCTGCTAATGAGAAACGAATGACGGCTTCTTGTCTGTTTACCGTGAGGTGGTTTTGTGCCGTGTTTCCTCTCTGATCTGATCTGGTGTGATTTTGTTCCCAGTAGCGTTCATAACTGGTGTGTTTCTGCTCGTAAACACGAGGAAATGCAGCTTAGCAGGAACCCGGGTGTAAAAACGATGAGGTCTGACGTCGTGTAGCACCTTTATTGGAGCGCTTTACCAGAGATCACTTCCCACCAGGCTGGGATTATTAATAACATTTACATTCCCACAAATGCATTATTAATGCACCTGTTAAAACATTATTAACGTCTGCTGTCTCCCTCTTTCTTCCATCTCACCCATCTTCCTCCCCCTCTGCTCCTCCACTTCATCCATGTTTTCTTCTTTTGTAGGACAGTAATGCTGGCTTTCCTCACCTCCTCCTCCTCCTCCTCCTCCTCTGTCCCCCTCCTCCTCCTCTGAGCCAACGGCCCTGTCTCTACAGGAAGAACAGGAGAACATCCCGGCTCCTCTTCCCGCCTGACCGTCGGGGCTTTTCTCTGCTCCTCTCCTGTTTGCTCTGACGTCTCGTTAACTTGCTACTAACTAAGGGAGGAGGGGCCGAGGCAGCTAGCTCTCAGCTAATAAAGCTTTTGTATTTTAGACACAAAAGCAAATATCAGTTTTTGTTAGAGACGCGCGTTAGTCCAGAACTAGTCATGCCTGGCTGAATTTTGATTTGAAGTCATGTTTTACCCGACGGAAGGGGCGCGGGCAAAATAAGTTCAAACTCACGCTGACTCTCGTAAACTTTTACATTTGAATTCAAAATACGTTTTTACATCATTTCAGCGGTCATGCAAGTTTTATTCAACGTTCACATCACTCCTATACTGTCGTGACTCTTCTGTGTGCGATGCAGCTAGTGATCAGAACTCCATCTTGCTCACAAACCCAGCTGTTCCTGTCTGACAGGTGCTGAGGCTGCTCAGGAGACACAGCTTAGACTCCGGACATCATTCTGGTCTTTAACTCCTGACATAAGCTAGCTCTTACACTCGCACCAAACCGTGTCCAGCTGGTTAGGTTCCCATCTTCATTAAAGGCTGACCCATATGGGGTTTTTAAGGCCGATACCGGTTTTCACCGGTTTTGTTGCCGATGGCCAATTTCTAAAGCCAATTATTAGACTGATAAATACGTTTTAGCGGCGCATTGATCGTGAAAGACTACTGAACACTCACTGTGTGCAATATAAATTAAACAGTTCAATAAATATCTTAATATTTATTGAACTTCAAACATAAAAGACACTCAAAACATAAAACCATGGTGTGTTGGGGTCCTTGGGTCCTTTCTTTAATGTAGTAGTGGCGGCAGCTGGCCACACAGGTGCCTGATTTTTTTTCTAAATCGGCTTTTAAAAATAATTTCGGCCGATGACCGATATCGGCTGGCTAACGTATCGGGCCTCTAATCTTTATCTGGGAAAGCTTTTACAACCATGAGCGTTGTGAGGAGGTCTGAGTCACATGGGCTTAAAGCAAAGGCTGTGAGGAGTGTCTGTCTTTAACTTCAAACCCAAACTGCTCAGATTTGATCTCTGAAGTTTAGGAAATCCTTAAAAATGAGAAAGAAACCTCCGATAGCGTCAGAAGCCAAAAGGAAGGCGCTGCAACTCACAGGAAGCTAGTTATGATAGAATGAAACACGCTGCTGCAACAGTTAGAGCTTTTTATATTTATATCTTAAATCATTCATTTTCTGTAACATACATTTTTTTTGCCTTTCATTCTAATCAGAAAAGTTATTGGTCAAATAAATTACAAATGATGCTAAATCAATATTTTGCCTCGGCATGAATGATTTTGGGTTAACTGCATAAAGAGTAGAGCCCGGCCAGACATGCCAACGCTTCCTTACGGGAAGCACAGGGCCTGGGAACTCTCCCATCTAAATAACCCCGCCCCCTTCTAACCCAGCCAATCAGCGCTGAGCAGTGTGCGTCTCACACCCTGACGCTCAGTTTCTGATAAACAACAAAGATGGCGCCTGACACGGAGTTTGCTGCGGCTCTTTCCTAAGTGACTTGGACATGAAGACAAGAAGAAGCGCTAAAAGCTTTTCTTCTAAAGAAAGATGTTTGCGTTGTCGTCAGACGCCATCTTTGACTACAGCGCCGCGCGATGCAGTCATTTCCCCCATTTTTTTGAGTGTATTTTTTTAGCTGGCTGGTCCCGCTCTTCATGGTGCGCTCTGCCTCTGAGCGTCCAGACTCGTCCTCGGTGTAGACGGAGGCAGGCCAGGCTATAGAGAATAGGGATTAAAATGTTTAGTAACGAAATATTGAGTAAAATATGTAAACTAATCAGACGGAGGTCATTTAGTTTTCTACATGAACCGGTGTGAGAGGAGCATTTAAACAGGGTTACTCATTCTTGCACCAACATTACACCTCGGACCAATAAGATGGCTCACTGATGCTTGATTTGTCTCCATGCACTGTAAGAAATTAAATGTTGAATTGACTTAAAGTAACACTGAATAGTTTCCTGCTTCTCCGCCCTACTGGTTGAAAGTGGAATTACAACTGTCGAAAACAACCCTGCAGCAGCCTGCTGTAGCTAGCGCTAGCAGCAAGCTAACACTAACGTGAGCCAGCTGATTGTAAAATAAACCACAAAGTCAAACTTTCCACACTGCTGGACAAAAATATTACTACTAGCCCCGTGCTCACTCTGGTTTTAGCTCTTTGTCTCTCCTTCACAGACTGTTTTACTTTTACCTCCAGGCTCTGCCATGATGCCAACAAAAAAACATTTTTTTTATTTCTTCTTCTTGCGCTTTTTATTGACAGTCGGCAAACTGAAAAAGCTAACTGCTAGCCTTTATATTAGCTACGGGCACCATGGACAGCGAACAGCTAAGCACCCACCCCTAGGGCGCCTCCCCATCCCACCAAACTGCTAAATACAGTTTCTGGTCAGCAGAGGGCGGCGGAGCGCTGTCCCATGTGAAGTTTCTACCTACACAACCACTGAAACCCACTTTAAACAAATAGTGTTCAAAACTGTTTAATGTTACTTTAACCACGTTATGTCGTCTGGTTCCACTAAACCTAGTGGCTTGAATGTAAAGAGTGATTCACGTTTGTTTTTTAATAACAACACATGTTTATTACAATCAAAATTAAGCAACTAGGTTTAGTGGAACCAGTTAAAATGTACTTATTTAAAGTAGATTCAACAGTTCATTTCTTACAGTGTGGAAGCTTACTGTCACATTGCTAGGAATCAGGCTAATCGATAGTGATTGTGTGAATCTGTTCGTGTTCATTAACCTAGTCTTGTACTGAACTGTTACCAGCAGCAGAAACACGGAAGGTGTTGCAGACAAAGCAAGACTTGGACCACCAGCTGAGTCTTCCTCTGCGCGTTCACGTCAGCATTAGCTACTTTTACCGCCTATGCAACCATCTGGAGGTGTCCTTCCAACACCAGCTTCATTTGTCCTTGGCAGCAGCGTTGTTAGCATCGCTCGCTGTGTTAGCATCAACGACAACGTGCCTCATTCTGTGCATCAGCTGTAAATATACCAGAGGACTGATAATAAAGGGCGATTCTGACACACGCCGAGTGTTTTAAACTGCTTTTGCATCACAACTCAGATCCATGACTGAAAGGAAAGTGTTTGTGCTGTGTGTGTGTGTGTGTGTGTGTGTGTGTGTGTGTGTGTGTGTGTGTGTGTGTGTGTGTGTGTGTGTGTGTGTGTGTGTGTGTGTGTGTGTGTGTGTGTGTGTACGTGTGTGTGTGTACGTGTGTGTGTACACCACAGGGTGTGCAAACCTGATGACGCTGGACACAATGAGTCCTCAGGAGAGGAAGAGGCAGGGTTACATCCATGAGCTAATCCAGACGGAGGAGACTTACGTGGAGGATCTGGAGCTGGTGCTGGAGGTAAAACAGCAAGTTTTAAATAAAAACCGTGTCCGTAGCAGCATCAGCTCTCATTCTCCTTGTTTTCTGTCCTGATTTGTGGATGCTCAGGTGTTCCACAAGCCCATGTCGGAGTCAGGTCGTCTGACAGAAACTGAGATGACGATGATCTTTGTGAACTGGAGGGAGCTGATCATGTGCAACACCAAACTGCTCAAGTATGACTTTTTATTTTAACTTAAAAAAAAGAAATAAAAAACATTAAAACCAATCAGTTTGCTTTTTTTTTCTTGTAAAAAGTGACACAAAAATGCTGAAAGCCACTGAGGAGAAGATCAGACCGTTAGGTGAAACGTCTGTAACTGGTCAGTAACTAGCTGTAACTGGTCAGTAACTAGCTGTAACTGGTCAGTAACTAGCTGTAACTGGTCAGTAACTGGCTGTAACTGGTCAGTAATTGGTCAGTAACTGGCTGTAACTGGTCAGTAACTGGCTGTAACTGGTCGTAACTAGCTGTAACTGGTCAGTAACTGGTCAGTAACTGGCTGTAACTGGTCAGTAACTAGCTGTAACTGGTCAGTAACTAGCTGTAACTGGTCAGTAACTAGCTGTAACTGGTCGGTAACTAGCTGTAACTGGTCAGTAACTAGCTGTAACTGGTCAGTAACTAGCTGTAACGGGTCGGTAACTAGCTGTAACTGGTCAGTAACTAGCTGTAACTGGTCAGTAACAATCTGTAACTAGTCAGTAACTAGCTGTAACTGGTCAGTAACTAGCTGTAACTGGTCATTAACTGGCTGTAACTGGTCAGTAACTGGTCAGTAACTGGCTGTAACTGGTCAGTAACTGGCTGTAACTGGTCGTAACTAGCTGTAACTGGTCAGTAACTGGTCAGTAACTGGCTGTAAATGGTCAGTAACTCGCTGTAACTGGTCAGTAACTAGCTGTAACTGGTCAGTAACTAGCTGTAACTGGTCAGTAACTGGCTGTAACTGGTCAGTAACTAGCTGTAACTGGTCAGTAACTAGCTGTAACTGGTCAGTAACTAGCTGTAACTGGTCACTAACTAGCTGTAACTGGTCAGTAACTAGCTGTAACAGGTCGTTAACTAGCTGTAACTGGTCAGTAACTAGCTGTAACTGGTCAGTAACTAGCTGTAACGGGTCGGTAACTAGCTGTAACTGGTCAGTAACTAGCTGTAACTGGTCAGTAACAATCTGTAACTAGTTAGTAACTAGCTGTAACTGGTCAGTAACTAGCTGTAACTGGTCAGTAACTAGCTGTAACTGGTTAGTAACTAGCTGTAACTGGTCAGTAACTAGCTGTAACTGGTCAGTAACTAGCTGTAACTGGTCATTAACTAGCTGTAACTAGTAGTAACTAGCTGTAACTGGTCGTTAACTAGCTGTAACTGGTCAGTAACTAGCTGTAACTGGTCAGTAACTAGCTGTAACTGGTTAGTAACTAGCTGTAACTGGTCAGTAACTAGCTGTAATGGTCGGTAACTAGCTGTAACTGGTCAGTAACTAGCTGTAACTAGTCATTAACTAGCTGTAACTGGTCAGTAACTAGCTGTAACTGGTCAGTAACTAGCTGTAACTGGTTAGTAACTAGCTGTAACTGGTCAGTAACTGGCTGTAACTGGTCAGTAACTGGCTGTAACAGGTCGGTAACTAGCTGTAACTGCTCAGTAACTAGCTGTAACTGGTCAGTAACTAGCTGTAACTGGTCAGTAACTAGCTGTAACAGGTCGGTAACTAGCTGTAACTGGTCAGTAACTAGCTGTAACTGGTCAGTAACTAGCTGTAATGGGTCAGTAACTAGCTGTAACTGGTCAGTAACTAGCTGTAACTGGTCAGTAACAATCTGTAACTAGTCAGTAACTAGCTGTAACTGGTCAGTAACTAGCTGTAACTGGTCAGTAACTAGCTGTAACTGGTCAGTAACTGGCTGTAACTGGTCAGTAACTGGTCAGTAACTAGCTGTAACTGGTCAGTAACTAGCTGTAACTGGTCAGTAACTGGCTGTAACTGGTCAGTAACTGGCTGTAACAGGTCGGTAACTAGCTGTAACTGGTCAGTAACTAGCTGTAACTGGTCAGTAACTAGCTGTAACAGGTCGGTAACTAGATGTAACTGGTCGGTAACTAGCTGTAACTGGTCAGTAACTAGCTGTAACGGGTCGGTAACTAGCTGTAACTGGTCAGTAACTAGCTGTAACTGGTCAGTAACAATCTGTAACTAGTCAGTAACTAGCTGTAACTGGTCAGTAACTAGCTGTAACTGGTCAGTAACTAGCTGTAACTGGTCAGTAACTGGTCAGTAACTAGCTGTAACTGGTCATTAACTAGCTGTAACTAGTAGTAACTAGCTGAAACTGGTCAGTAACTAGCTGTAACTGGTCAGTAACTAGCTGTAACTGGTCAGTAACTAGCTGTAACTGGTTAGTAACTAGCTGTAACTGGTCAGTAACTAGCTGTAACTGGTCAGTAACTAGCTTTAACTGGTTAGTAACTAGCTGTAACTGGTCAGTAACTGGCTGTAACTGGTCAGTAACTAGCTTTAACTGGTTAGTAACTAGCTGTAACTGGTCAGTAACTGGCTGTAACTGGTCAGTAACTAGCTGTAACTGGTCGGTAACTAGCTGTAACTGGTCGGTAACTAGCGTCCTGACCTGTGTGCACCGCAGGGCCCTGCGCGTTCGGAAGCAAGCGGGAGGAGACAACATGCCCGTCCGGCTGATCGGAGACCTGCTGGCTTCTGAACTTGCTCACATGCAGCCGTACATCTGTTTCTGCTCCCGTCAGCTGAACGCCGCCGCCCTGCTGCAGAGCAAAACGCACTCCCAGCCAGACTTTAAAGACTTCCTAAAGGTGATGAAGAGAAGCTGAAAGATCCTCTAATGGGTGAAAAGTTACAGACACGATTCAAACGTCTTTTCCTGTTGAGCAGAAAATCGCCACTAACTACCGCTGTAAAGGAATGCCGCTGTCCAGCTTCCTCCTGAAGCCCATGCAGAGGATCACCCGCTACCCGCTGCTCATTAAGAACGTATGTTCAAGTAGTTTCAGTTCTTTCTTCCACCTGTCGCCATTTTTATTCCAATGCTGTTGTTGCTGATAGATCTTGGAGCACACACCAGAAGGTCACGCAGACCGCGCGCCTCTGCGAGAAGCTCTGGAGCGAGCCGAGGAGCTGTGCCTTCAGGTCAACGAGGGCGTCCGGGAGAAGGAGAACTCGGACCGGCTGGAGTGGATCCAGAACCACGTTCAGTGTGAGGGGCCCATAGAGGTACATGAACTCTAATCTGGATCACGGATGCTATCGACTGTAGGCTCAACTGTCCCTCCTCCGTTCAGCATCTGATCTTCAACTCCCTGACCAACTGCGTCGGGCCTCGAAAGTTACTCCACAGCGGTCGACTGTACAAAAGCAAAAGCAGCAGGGAGCTTTGGGCCTTCCTCTTCAACGACTTCCTCCTCCTCACTCACAGCGCCAAACCTTTCTCTTCCTCTGGCTCGGAGAAGTTGTTCAGCTCCAAAACCAGCATACAGCTCAAGATGTACAAGACGGTGAGCGGAGGACTAAAGCATGACTTTGTGTTTGAATGTAAACACGATTTACCGCATGTTTCTCCACAGCCGCTGTTCCTGAACGAAGTTTTGGTGAAAATGCCGCCTGACCCGTCCAGCGACGAGCCGCTCTTCCACGTCTCGCACATCGATCGGGTCTACGCCCTCAGAACCGAGACTTTAAGTGAGAGGTATGCACTCAGCGGTTTCTCCTTCAGAAGCCTTCCCCGGCAGAGCTTTCACACCTGGTCTCTGTTTGGTAGGACAGCGTGGGTCCAGAAAATCAAAGCAGCGTCGGAACATTTCATCGAGACGGAGAAGAAAAAGAGAGAGAGAGCATATCAAGGTACACGGCTGCTAAATTCTCTCTAGATTAGAGATGATCTGAAGGTGTGGTCAGTTAAGCTGGTGTTGATGTTTCCTCTGTGTTTACTCCAGCTCGTTCTCTAAAGTCCAGCGGCATCGGGCGACTGCTGGTTACGGTCACTGAGGCTCAGGAACTTAAAGCCTGTAAACCAAACGGTGAGACCCAATAACACACTCAGGCCCGGATCACGCTGTGCCGTTTTTGGCCGTCTTCTCGTCCCTCTGTGAGAACTCCAGAGGTGGCAATCGATACGGCGCAGGACTTCAGAGGCAGACTACATAACGTCTTTCTCCAGCAGGACACCCCTCCCGTAGCATCCATCCCTAACCCTCACCCTCCCGCAGCATCCATCCCTAACCCTCACCCTCCCGCAGCATCCATCCCTAACCCTCACCCTCCCGCAGCATCCGTCCCTAACCCTCACCCTCCCGCAGCATCCGTCCCTAACCCTCACCCTCCCGCAGCATCCATCCCTAACCCTCACCCTCCCGCAGCATCCATCCCTAACCCTCACCCTCCCGCAGCATCCATCCCTAACCCTCACCCTCCCGCAGCATCCGTCCCTAACCCTCACCCTCCCGCAGCATCCATCCCTAACCCTCACCCTCCCGCAGCATCCATCCCTAACCCTCACCCTCCCGCAGCATCCGTCCCTAACCCTCACCCTCCCGCAGCATCCGTCCCTAACCCTCACCCTCCCGCAGCATCCGTCCCTAACCCTCACCCTCCCGCAGCATCCGTCCCTAACCCTCACCCTCCCGCAGCATCCGTCCCTAACCCTCACCCTCCCGCAGCATCCGTCCCTAACCCTAACCCTCACCCTCCCGCAGCATCCGTCCCTAACCTCACCCTCCCGCAGCATCCGTCCCTAATTCTCACCCTCCCGCAGCATCCGTCCCTAACCCTCACCCTCCCGCAGCATCCGTCCCTAACCCTAATCCTTACCCTCCCGCAGCATCCGTCCCTAACCCTCACCCTCCCGCAGCATCCGTCCCTAACCTCACCCTCCCGCAGCATCCGTCCCTAACCCTCACCCTCCCGCAGCATCCGTCCCTAACCCTCACCCTCCCGCAGCATCCGTCCCTAACCCTAACCTAAACGAAGCTGAAAACAGAAAAACTCTTCTCTTTAGTGTCATGACCCAACTCATCGTCCTCACAGAGGAAGCTTCGTTTTTAAAACCCTCGCTTTGGCGTCAGACTCCAGCTGCGGGTCTCCTTTCTCCGTCTTCCAGCTAAACAGCTGATCTGTCAGCTGGTCTTTCATCCTTCTCCTCCGCAAGAACCCACTAACCTACAGAGAAGTAACCGTCTGTCGCAGATCGCTGCAATATCGCTTTAGCCGAGAATTCTGTCTCACTGCGCCGCAGCTCCGCCCCGGGTGACCGCTCACGCCTGCTGTCATGGAGCTTCCTCCGTCCCTCTGCAGCAAAACGCTACTGAACCGTCCTTATTGGTTGAATATGAGAAATTTCCACCAACAGCAAAGGGATCTCATGTTTTTTATGTTCGTGAGCTCATCTCCGCTCTCACAGATCCCAGAATCACGGTTTTCACTATTTATCTGATGGTCTAAAAAGGTACTTTAGTTATTTTAAGTATGACTCCGGTTTCACTCGGGCTGTTAACAAAAATATTAACTAGTGTGTAGTTTATGATCCGCATTTTAAACATAAATTGAAACTGAAGCTCGGAGAGGCGGAGTCTTGCTGCTGCGGCATCCCAAAGGTGTGTTTTCATTGGTGGGTTGCAGACAGGAGTCGCAGATTTTCAAGCACGCTTGTAGACTGTCGGAGGCTGATTTGGTCGTGAGACGGCTCAAACAGCTGTCGCAGAGCCGGTCACACTGTACGTTCACAGCATGGTGCACAGAAACGCAAGTCGCCCTGACGTTGACCGATTTTTGGCACGATTCTGCTCTGGACGAGGGATCTGGCAAAGAGGGCCAAAAATGGCACATTGTGATCCGCGCTTTAGACTTGGTCTTTAAAGATTAAAGGGATACTTTGCAGTTTTGGTTTAGCACCCCCTAGTGTTCTGTTAGTAAACCTAAAAGTGGAACGTATCTCCATGCTGTGTGTTTGTCTCTTTAGCACCTTAATCTAACAGCTGAAACGACTCCTCAGCCTTCATCGGTGTCTACAGGAGTGATTCATCACTAAATCAAACAAATCAGGTGTTCGTGATCTAAAACATGCAGGAAACGTGCTGCAGCGCCAGGCATGTCAGCTCCACTTTACAAAGTCCAACAGCCACCGGACTGCCACTCTGAAGTTGCAAGTGTGGTATTCTGGCCACAGAGGGGGGCGGGGGTCAGAGTGACATTTCATTAACCCTGTAAAGGGTCATTTTAGCAAATACGGCTCAAGAAAATGATTTAAAAATCTGACAAAGTTGCATTCTGTGGCCATAAATATGTAACCATATTTTCCCTGCAGCGAGGCTAATTGATGATTAATAGCTTTTGTAGAAGCTGCCGGATTAAAAACACGCCAGTAGATGGCGGTATCGGATTGAGGAAGGAATCTGGCCAGAGGATAGGTGTCACAAAGCTCTTCCTGTCCCCTGAAGCCTTCAAAATAAAAGGGCTTGCTTGTCAGCTGCTCTTTTAGCATTATCGGCATGAAATCATCGATATTCAAAACCACAAAGTCAATCCTGGAGGGATTTGAGTTAGTTGCTGGTTCGCTGCGGCAGATTGTTGATAGAACCTGAAGAAGCTTCAACGGTTGATCTCTGCGCCAAACAGCTAAATGCTAAATGTAGCCACGCAAGCATCTGGCCATGATCAGTTCGACCAGGCGTGGTGTAGGTAACAATTCACAAGGGAATTAACCTCTTCGACACGGAATACCGCTGAAAGGTTCTCGTTGATGTCGGAAAAGCGGCTAATTAAGCGGAATATTCGTCGCTACGCCCCTTCCGCGTAATGGCCTAAAACCGGCGTTGCAGCCTGGGGAAGCCTACGGGTATTAAACGCGCGCTCTGAGTCGGTCAGACGCAGCTTCAGGTCTCTGCCTGGCGAAATCCGGTAGTAGCGTCGGAAAGCGTCCGGTATCACGGCGGACTAACCTCTGTTGATCAGACCTCTGTTAAAATCAGAGCTGGCTTCAGTGCTACGTGGATCAGCGTTTCCTGTCCGTGTAGCACAAGCCCACAACAGGAACAAAACACATTCAGATGAACACACAAACGTGACAAAATGACTTACTTCTAGGAGTTGAGAGGATTTGAAAGCAAACGCTTGATGATACAGACTTGGTAACCAAAAGGTTCTGACTTCAGCTCCTCCGGAGAGGAAGTTACGAAGAGGCACTCTTCAAAATAAAACCTTCCCTTGCCGGCAGCTTGGGAGAGGACGAGAGGAGCTGTACAGCTCCGCTTTCAGTGGATGAGAGAATTACCTCCAAGTGTAAATAGACATGAATCAGACTGGCTGGCTCGCCATCAAACGTAGCGTAGGCTAATTGATGATTTTACGTGTTCTGACCAGGAAGATGTAATATTCTATGTAAATATCAAATATTAACCTGCGAGGTCTTTGTTGTAATTATCAGAAGATTCTAGGATTTAATTCAGAAGATCTAGGTTCGTTGCTTTTTCAGTGATCAACCACACTTCGTGTTACTTCAAGAAAGAGTCAGGTTTATAAAAGTAAGACTTTATTTTACAAATAATTAAAACATGACTGATTAATTAAGCATTTACTGTGAGTGGATGTAACTAAATGTGATGAAGGAACCTATGTGTGAATTTGTTGTCAGTCAGAGCTTCCTTATCAAAGTAAGCTGAGTTCTGGTGAAAAGAGTTTGGTTTGCTCTAAGCTGTAAAGTTGTTATCATCAGAAGAACATCAGACACGATCTGTCATGTCTACCTCACCCAGTCAGAGAGATCATCTTGGTGGATCCGAAAGCCGCGGGGTCGGCTGACCTCTGGCACGAGAGGGCTGTAGAATACCGAGGTACCGACTCTTCAGTCCGGAGATGTCTCGGGTCCCAACAGCTGGATGGAACCGTGCGTCTGGCGGACTCTTAAGGAGTCTAACGATATCAGCTTTGTTCTGCAGGAACTGTTTGCTCATCAGCTTCGCAGGTGCAGAAAGGTTTTGATGACGTGTCGACATCTTTGATGGTTAAAGAGGTTTTACTACAGATGGCCGGCCTGAAGCGATTCTCTAGAACTGTTGAATCCCTCAGGATGATCCAGTTTTAAGGTTTTGATGTTATGATTGGACAGCCAATCAGAGGCTGACAGGTTTGAGATGTTACCAAGACAACTCAGAAACACGCCTTCTAGATACCGGATGTTCTGACTGGTTTAATACGATGTGTGTCAGGGTTTAACTTAACCGTACGTGTTATGGTGTGGGTGCAGGTGTGAGGACCTCGTCGGCAAAACATGGTGAACACGTGGCAGGTTCTGAACAACATAACATCTATTCAGTGTGCACAGATAAATGAAGCATTTCATTACACTATAATCATTATAAGTAGTAATAAACACATGTTTATTTAATGATTATCTAGATTATAAATCATGGAAAAAGTTCATGTTTATTTAAGAAATCATTCTTGATTTTAGCAACTGATTCGAGCTGGATCTTCTTTCTTCTGGAGGCAGGCAGATGGGACCTTGGGAAAGAAAGTTATGGTTATCTGACTTGTGGAGCCTGACTCCCAGCTGGTGTGAAGGCAGGCTTGTTTAAAGGGAACACGTGCAGTGTTGTGTCTCCTCTCTGACCAGATGTAGAATAGAGGGTGAAAGGTCAGGCTGTACCTATACCTACCATTGCTGGACGCCACATCCCCCAATGACCTGGAGTTTATTTCACTTCATTGATTAAATCAGAGATGCTGCCAAGGAGGGTATGAATAGTATAGTGAGTATGAAACAGTTTGGGGCGGGTACAGAGGTGGCAGACAGCTCTTTTTATAGCCCGATGGTACGATTTGGCCAAAACTGCAAAGGTTCAACTTTGGTGGAGGGACTTATCGACCCAGAGCGCCCGGTAACTCCTTATTTCTCCTCAGGTAAGAGCAATCCGTACTGCGAGCTGACCATCGGCGCTCAGTGCTACACGTCCCGGCCCGTCAGTGACACTCTGAACCCCAAGTGGAACTTCAACTGTCAGTTTTTTATCAAAGACCTGTACCAGGATGTCCTGTCCATCACCGTGTTTGAGAAAGACCAGTTCTCACCAGACAGTCAGTAACACACACACACACACACACACACACACACACACACGCGCGCGCGCGCGCTCAGGTCTATAAACAGTCTTTCTAATTTTATTTATGCAGTGGAATGACGCATTTTACTGCTCCTTTAGATTTTCTGGGTCGCACTGAGGTTCCCGTGGCAACCATAAAGAAAGACATGGAGAGCAAAGGAGCAGCGACCCGTCGCCTGCTTCTGCACGAAGTCTCCACTGGAGAGGTGTCGGTCAAACTGGACCTTCAGCTTTATGAGTAGGCTCAACGAGCACCAAGTACAAAAAAATACACAGAAATGTGCTTAAAGTACCACAAAATACTTTGAATATTGCTTTTTTCCCCCTTTCTGTTCCGCACACCAACCTTCATGCAGCTAAAATGTGAAGAAAGTCACTAATATTTTCAGATTCCCCGCTGAGTCAGATTGGCTCAATAAAACAGGTCTTTATTTTCTAGTTGTGATGAGCAGCGACGAGCTGTAAAGTGTATTTTAACAAGTTAATATAAAGGGATATTTTATTACCACTAAATGAGAAATAAGACACACATCTCACTGCTTCAGATGTTATTTGTTTAGTACGTTACAACTTTATCTTGTAAATCTGAACCGTTGTGTTTTATGTGAAATGTGCCATTAAACTCCTGAGGTGGAATGAATAAAGTGCTTTTACTGATTTGGTTGAAGACCAGAGAGCGTCTCTGTGCACCAGCAGCTTGACTGATGACACCTTCCATCGGATGTAGCTGTTGCGCGGATGTAATCTGGGATGGTGTCAAGCCTGGACGAAAACATCTGTGAAAACATCAGGAAGCGAGGAATACAGAATAAATGTTCCAGATTTGTTTCGTTCCCCAGGTGGAGTTACTAGAATGGATTCAGATATGGGACGAGGAAGCTGGTTTCAACTCAGAAACCGTCACTCCGTGTACATCTACCCACTCACTTTTGGAGACAACGTACCCAAAATGGCCACCGCTCAGTCTGTTTTACAAATCTTGAGCTGAGATTTGGTGTGGTAGCTGACAAATACCTCCAAGTGTTTATTTCACCCAAAAGTGAAAGACCCATCATTCTCCTGACCCAGCTGTACTCATTTAGCTTTAGCTTAGCATAAAACGCAGTAAGTGAATGGCTCCAACTAGCATCATGAGCAAAAAGGCTTAAAACACCTATTGGTGATTCCAGTTCTGTGGTCAGGATGATTATTTAGGTCACCAAGCAGAATCAGGATCACTACTGAGCACGTCTTTGCTCACGATGCTAGTTGGAACATTCACTTACTGCGTTTTATGCTAAGCTAAAGCTAAAGCCGGGTCAGCTGGTTACAGATCATTTTTTCCCCACTTATCTAACTTTGGGAAATATGTCAGACAAAATGTCACTTTTGGGAGGAACATCCTTTTAACAAATCACACAAGATCTGCTAATATCTCAAGACCAAAATAGCTATAATTGAAACCGTTTATTTGTGCCACTGCCACGAACAAACAGGAAATGTCTGAATTAACTTTAAAGAAAAACAATAAAATATTTCAAGAATAATGTTAAATGGTGTAAAAACCATAAGAAATGCCTTCTTGCCAGATGATTTATCCTTTCTGGAATTAAAGTTGTTTTTAACTCATTTAAATATTTCATTTTAATTAAAGATATGAAGCATCATTTTAGGGGGTTTACTGGCAGTATGTGACATTTTTAGGGTGTTTTTGAAACATTTAAACAAAGAAATCCACCTTGAAATGCTGTGGCTTCCTGGTGTTGAGGAGAAAAGGGTTGTACTCTCGTAGGTCGTAGGCTTCCAGAAATACAAACTGCTGCCAGTGAAGGAAACATTAAATAAGTTAGATGAGCTTTCACTTAATAACCGTCTGCAGCAGCAGATGAAAACGTCACCTTGGAGTTGCAGTGTCTCAGGTAGTCGTCGTACAACGCCTGGCGTAGCCGGTTCTGCTGGGGCCTGCAGCTCCCCTCACGTTCCTCCAGTCTCCTCCAACAGGGAAGCCACACATTCTCCGTCCAGCGTTTATGAAGAAGCTGCTTCCTCCTCAGCTTATGATCATCCTGCTCACTCAAAAAGCACTCCAGCTCCTTGGACAAGACCCATTTCAGCGAAAATGGAAGAGATTTTTTACATTTTGACTGAAAACCAACACTTGCCCTACCTTAATGAAGCTATTTTCTGCGTCCCGCAGAGATCGGATCAGTTCTTGTACCTTCTGCTTTTCAGCTTCAATGTCCACCTGTGGGAAATCATGATGTAAATCTTTCACCTGGACATACAGAGAGGTTTTGTTTACTTCTTACCTTCGTCTCAGGGAGGCATGCGAGAGTGGGTGCTGTTTGGAGATTTGCTTTCATCTCTTTACTGGCCTCTGTCTACGTGGTGCCAGGTATCATGTGTACATGTAAAAGATTTAAAGGATAGAATTTGGTACGTGGCTTATTTTTCCACCATTTAGCACATTTTCATCACATTTATGTTTATGTTTATGTGTTTAGCAGACGCTTTTGTCCAAAGCGACTTACAAGTGTAATCGGCATGTTGCCCTTGAGGCTAACAACAACAACAACAACAACATTGACATCAGTCATGGAGAGGAGGGAACAAGGAGTGGACAGTAGAGAGGGGGGACGGGTGCAGGGAGGGTGCTAGTTTAGAAGATGCTCTCTGAAGAGCAGGGTCTTCAGGAGTTTCTTGAAAATAGAAAAGGAAGCCCCTGTTCTGGTAGTGCTTGGAAGGTCATTCCATATTTGTGGAACGATGCATGAGAAGAGTCTGGATTGTCCTGAGCGTGGTGTAGGCACTGCTAGCCGACCATCCTGTGATGACCGGAGCGGCCGGGCCGAGACGTAAGCCTTTGCAAGAGGATTCAGGTAGATGGGAGATGTACCATCTCGGACTTTGTATGCTAGTGTTAGCTATTAGAATTTGATGTGTGCTGCTAGCGGTAGCCAGTGGAGCTCAATGAACAGAGGGGTGACGTGTGCTCTTTTTGGCTGATTGAAGACCAGACGCGCCGCTGCGTTCTGGACCATTTGAAGAGGTCTCCCAGTACAGCCTGGAAGACCAGTTAGAAGAGCGTTGCAGTAATCGAGGCGGGAGATGACAGTAGATTGCACCAGGAGCTGGGTGGCATGTTGTGTTAGGTATGGTCTGATCTTTCGTATGTTATACAGCGCAAAGCGGCATGAACGAGCAACAGAGGCAACATGATCTTTAAAGGTCAGGTGTTCATCAATCACAACACCCAGATTTCCTACTGCCTTTGAAGGAGCCAGAGATAGGAAGTCATTTTGGATTGAGATATTGTGCTGTATGGATGGTTTTGCTGGGATGACAAGCAGTTCAGTTTTAGAGAGGTTGAGTTGGAGATGGTGCGATTTCATCCATTTTGATATGTCAGAGAGACAGTTTGATATTCGTGCTGAGACAGTGTGATCGTCCGGTGGAAATGACAGATCGAGCTGGGTGTCGTCTGCATAGCAGTGGTAGGAGAAGCCATGTGATCAAATGATCTCACCCAGTGAGGTGGTGTATATGGCAAAGAGAAGAGGTCCTAGTACAGAGCCCTGGGGGACTCCTGTGGCAAGATGGTGCACGGTAGAGGATTGTCCAAGCCAAGATACACTGAATGATCGTCCTGTGAGGTACGATTCAAACCAGGCGTGTGCTTTCTCTGTGATGCCCATGCTAGAGAGTGTGGACAAAAGGAAGCCATGGTTGACAGTGTCAAATGCAGCCGATAAGTCGAGCAGGATAAGCACTGAGGATTTGGTCGCTCTAGCTTCTTTTAACTCATTTACTGCCAATGACGACGTCATTTGCATTTTTTTTTTACTGTGTGAGCATCGGAACGAGCCCCCGCACTGAGAGAACAAACATCTCAGCCCTGAAGCAGATCTTCATCCGCATACGTCACACGTCACGTGATCAGGAAGCAGACCCTCCATGTGTTAGGAGATCGTTTTGGGCCATTCCTGTAAAAAAAAGTGAGGCGTGAACCGGAAAAATGTCTGCCGATCACAATTTGACAACGGATTATGAAAGAACGGATAACGCTCGAAACACACAGATTCTTCCTGATGTAAGAGGTGAGTCTCCTCTTTGTTTTGGGTGTTTTGGCATCAACATCATGCTAGCGCGCAACGTTCTGTGACTCTTAAAAACCAGTAAAAACGGTGAGAAACGCTGGCAGTGAATGAGTTAAGGATCCAGTCACTGCTAACAGAGCAGTTTCAGTGGAGTGGCCCTTTTTGAACCCAGATTGGTAAGGGTCAAGCAGACAGTTCTGTGAGAGGTATTCTGTGATCATTTAAAATGGAAAGTGCCTAAAAATTTTCATACCACCATGTTTACATTGCACATAATTTCAGCTAATCTAATCCTGAAAGGTAATTTTAAATCTAAATCTGTGAGTTAAATTTCACTGCTAATACTTAGCATTGGACACTGGCTGCGCTTCACTGGGCATCTTAGGAACAGTAAGATTCAGCTCACATATTTAGATTTTTAACATTTTAAATTTAACTTTTAGACTTACATTTAACATTTAGATTTAAAAGCAAAGATTTAACATCCATCCATTTTCAGCCACTTATCCGGAGTCGGGTCGTGGGGGCAGCAGCCTAAGGCGAGAGGCCCAGACTTCCTGCTGCCCAGCCACTTGGGCCAGCTCCTCCGGGGTAACCCCAAAGCGTTCCCTGTCCAGGTGAGAGACATGGTCCCTCCACCGTGTCCTGGGTCTTCCTTTAGGTCTCCTCCCGGTTGGACGTGCCCGGAACACCTCACCAGGGAGGCGTCCAGGAGGCATCCTGACCAGATGCCCGAGCCACCTCAACTGCAGAAAAGCGAAACTGCAGAAGGTCCAAAACGCGGCAGCCAGGTTACTGACTGGTACCAGGAGATCTGAACACATCACGCCCGTCTTGGCACCCCGACACCGGCTTCCAGTCTCTTTTAGAGTTCCGTTTAAAGTTCTGGTGTTTGTTTTTAAACGTTTAAATGAGTTGGCTCCACGTTATCTGGCAGACCTGATTCAGCCTTATGTTCCCGCAAGGAACCTTCGGTCAGCACAGCAAGGACTGTTGGTCGTTCCTAAACACAGACTGGAATCTCCAGGGGGTCGTGCTTTCTCGGTGCTGGGGCCGAGGCTCTGGAATGAGCTGCCTGCATGGGTTAAACAGGCCAGCACGCTCGGCAAGTTTAAGAGCCAGCTGAAAACTCACTTTTACTCTTTAGCTTTTATTCAGGAAGAGTCCCGTTAACTGTTGGCTCTGCACTTGTTGCTGCCCCACCTAGATTTTATCTGCATGTTTTTGCTGTTTTTATATGCTTTTATTTTTTATTTTATTTTTTAATGCTTATTTCTGCTGTGCAGCGCTTTGTTTGGTCCTTGGGCCATGTGAAGGCACTATATAAATACAGTTTTAGTTAGTAACTGGCTCCTCTTGATGTGGAGGAGCAGCGGGTCTACTCTAAGCCCCTCCCGAATGACCGAGCTTCTCACCCTATCTCTAAGGGAGAGCCCAGGCGCCCTGCGGAGAAAACTCATTTCGGCCGCTTGTATCCGTGATCTCGTTCTTTCGGTCACTACCCAAAGCTCATGACCATAGGTGAGGGTAGGAACGTAGATCCACCGGTAAATCGAGAGCTTCGCCTTCTGACTCAGCTCTCTCTTCACCACGACAGACCGGTACAACGCCCGCATCACTGCAGACTGTAGCGTTAAGGAGTGACTAATGATCAATAAGAAGTTATATTCAATATAAATCTGATTGACACAGTTTGTGTCTGGGAGTTAAACATTAATTTATGGTCATTTTTTACGTAAATACTTGGCCCTGGGGTACGTTACAAGATGCAGCACCAATCCACCTCTCCATCTCATCAGAGGGCCTGGTACCCCATACTCCCGGAGTTAGAATTAACGTAGATTAGCAGATGTAGAGTTCACATTTAGATTTCACAGATTCAACATTTAGATTTAAAAATTTTAGATTTAGAATTAAAATTTAAATATAATATTTAGTTTTAACAATTAGATTAGCTGAAATTATGTGAAATGAAAATATGGTGATACGACCATTTTAGGCAATTTCCATTATAAATGCGATAAAAGTGTGCTAATTGTTGGAAAATTAAGCTAAATACAAAAAAATAAACTGCACAATTTACATTTGGCATCTCATTTCTGTTTGTATTTCTAATACAAAGCTTGTTCTAGCTTTTTCTCACAACTCCTGCAAATATTTGTTGAAATAGCGCACATCATAGCCTACCATCATTTCATTTGATGAACGTAAGTATGTCATTTGAGTGGATTATGACTGGATTGCATGTTGAGTAAATAATGGTAGATAAATGCTCCTGTTGCAGAGTAATATACGACTCATCGTGCTGCAACCTGAGACTCTGATGATTCAGCGTTGTGCACCAAGACAGGAGGAGGTGGGAGGTCTTGTTCTCCTCAGACCAACAGCCTCCATGTTTGTTTTAAACACAGTTTCATCACCTACTTCTCTTACGGGTGTTTTTCTTTACCTTCAGCAGTTTGACAGGTGTGTGGAAGGTGATCACACCACTGGGACGGGCTCTCTTCACCCTGCTCGTCTCTATCACCAGATTAACACAAACATTATTTATTAGTTAAACTGCCACTTAACTGTTTAACTGAAGATATTTTAACTATGAACCAATCTGAAAGTCGTTTTTCTTCCTGCTCATGAATGCATCGTTTTCAAGCAAATAAATCCCACATTTTTTCCTGCTTCTGAACTCACCATCTCCACTTCACAGGCTAAAGTGCTTTTAATCCAGAACCCTAATTTTTAAGTCATAATCGGAGGAAGAAAAAAAATTCTGTTAAAAGCTTTTTGTTTTGTTTTGATAAATCAGCCAATCAGCTCACAGAACCAGAACCAAAATAATGAGCCGGACATTGGGGAAAACAACAAACAAACACTTCTGATGTTCTGATCATTTCTATTAAAAGGAACTATTTTCTGATAGTAAAAAACGGATTTAGGCTATTTGACTTGCTGTTGGCATCAGCGTTAAGTCTGTTCGTTATTCTGTCACCATAACTGTGCTGTGTTTACTCACCTGTTGGGAGGATTCCGGTCAGAAATCCTAAAGTCGGGATAAATATAGGCCTGTTTATATATTTAAAATCACCTTTCTGGGTGACAAACGACTCGTGTGAAGTCTGGAGAGAGGTGCTAGTTTCCTTTGTGTCAGACTGGCTTCAGTTTTCACCACAGAGCTCATACACCTCCTATTCGCCTTCTCCAACTGTCCTGTCGTCTGGACGGTTTCCGTTGCCATGACGACCACGCCAATAGCAGAGATGAATACAAGGGTGTTTTATTGTTTTCTCTGAGTTAAATTATAAACGATTACATTATTTACATCAAATCAGCCAGGCCTAAACAGAGGATTCCTCAGATGGTCAGTCGTTTCTTGTCACCGGCGCACGGATGTTGCTAGAAGCACAGACATCACGTACATAGACACCACGTGAAGCTGGTGTAGCACTGAGCCGCCATGGTGGATGGGTTCTCATTCACCCCGGTGCATTAATGTTTACCGAGGAAGGCGTTTACACAACTAAAAACACATTTTATTTATTTATTTTTCCCCCGTGTCCAGTCTGGCTGTGAAGCAAACAGAAGTGATGTCTGAATGCTGGTAACAAGCCTTACAGATTTACTCTCAGGTGGAACATCAAAGCGTTTGCTTTAATTTATTGTTGTTGTTTTTGAATGCTTTGTAATTCCGACCAGACACAGAGTCAGAGGTGAAGGGGGGGGGGGGGGGGGGGGGGGGGGTTTCCACAAAAATAAACAGTCATTGATGAACAAGAGTCTGCTTCTAGACCTGCAGAAAAGGGACACACAACAATACATCAGGAGCAAGCTATCACTGCGTCACCTTGAAGAAATATAAAATCAACATTGTTTAACTGAACAATCATAAACCACAGTGCATTTAGTGCCAACCACAGCCTTAAGACCTGTGTTGAAATGCCCAAACCCATACTTGTACCTGTGTGTGTACACGCGCTTGTTTATGTAAGGGTTCCCTATAGGAGCGTCCAACAGTGTGAGGGGCCACAGATCTGCCCCCCAAAGATGTGCAGGAGATGGAGGGAGCTCCGAGTCCCAGAGATCCAGGAGCTGTCCCAGAGCACAGGGACCCCATGGAGACTGTAACAGAGAAGCCCCCGCCCCCCTCGAGAGGTGCAGAGGATCGCCTTGGGGGGCCACAACCAGCAGCCAGCAGAGTCCCGGGAGACATCAGCGGCCCGCCTGCAGCCTCCCACCCCCAATCCGGCCGAGCCCGGAACCCAGGGACCCAGGCTCTGCTTTTTCACATTATGGTATATGATGGTTAAAATATAAATATAATAAAATTAATTATATTAAAATATAAAACCCTGACAGGTAGGTTAGAAAAGTCAATAGCAATCCCACGTGATTTGTTTTCAAGTGTGCCAGTTGTTGCAACCGTATAGGATGCACAACAATTGGGCACAGTTGCCCAACGCCCACCCTGCGTCGCCTCCAGTTGGGTTTAGAGCAGGAGGAACCCAGCCAATATGGCAGTGGTGCTGCGCGTCTACATATTCGTGTCTGTGGCTAGAAGTACAGCAGGTGAGGGAGGGGAAAGCGGAGGTTTTTATTTCATATTTGTCTGAGAGGACGTTACCTTGTTATTAATATAGCAGTGAAATAACATGACCTTTATATATAATCCATAACTTAAAATTTTAAGTTTGGTGATGCGCTGCCATGTACGCTGGGGTATAAATGGAGCGCACCAAGATGAAACTACCCATTGTTTTATCCACCCTGGTTCTGGAGGGCCAGTATCCAGCAGGTTCTGTGGTTTTTCCTCCTCCAACACACTTGATTCAGTAGTTGAACCACCTGTGCAGCAGCTCATCAGGCTCTGCAGAAGCCAGCTAATCCTCTGCTGACTGAATCAGGTGAGCTGAAGCAGAGTTAAAACTAAAACCTGCTGGATACCGGCCCTCCAGCACCAGGACTGGGCCCCCTGCCGTACAGTATTACAAATCAGATCAGCACAGCCTAGGGACTGGAGATACAGATAATTATAAGCACTTGGCCTCGAACAAAGGTCAGACCCACACGAGTTTAAAGCATAAATGCAAATATTCTTATAGGGAAAATAAACTTGATTTGTCCAAATGCAACGTGTAGAACTTGTGTCAGGACGGTAAATCTCACAAGTCGGATAGTCTGAGTCTTAAAGCGCCTCTCGACAGCTGATGTGTCCTTGAGGTGTCCACTTGGACACCTTGTGTGAAAGCGGCGGGTTTGGGTATTAAGGCAGGCAGGGGCAGGGCTTGGCCAGGTCACAGCTCGTCTTCCTCGCTGCTTTCTTTCTTGCTGAAGGTGTCCAGGACGGGACAGGGCAGGACGGGGGGAGGCTACATGGATTGGTGGACTTCACTGGCAGCGAGTATTGCCTTGCTCTGGATATTCTGCTTCATAGACGGTGAGACTTGCTGAAGGTTCTGGAAACCTTTTCTTTTATTCATTTTAAATGTCTTCGTGTTGCAGATGTGGTTCATGTGGAGGATAAAATGAGATAATTAACTTTTACAAGTATTAGACGATCATAATGCCTTCATAATAATGCAGTCAGTCAGGAAACAAATGTGTAATACACACGTGCTGCTTACGGTTAATAATGAAATCAGGTGCATCCAGTCACCGTTCAGCCTCCCACCTGTGTCAGTAGCATAGATTTACACGCGGAAGAGAAAGATATTTGAATATCTCTTCCTGATTTGTTTCTCGACTAAAGTTCCTGTGAGTTAGAACCATGGATGTCCATTAGAGCAGGACCGCGGTGATGCCGCCCTCCAAACACAAAGCTGCAGAGCAGACGTTAATCCAGTGTTTGTAATGGTTTGTGACAGAGTTAAATTAGTCTCCACCTGACCCGGTCACGCGGTCTTATCTCCAGGTAACGCCGTGCTTGAGCTGCGGCTGCTCTTCCATGCTCTGACCAAAGCCGCTTGCCACCTGTACCTGGCCCTGCTCCCGCTGCGCCGTGCCGCCACCCACTTCGCCGACTGCGCCAGGTACCTGCTCAACCATGCCCAGCAGAGCCCGCCCCCCCAGGGCTACCTGCAGCAAGGCCAGCCGCTGGCCAAGAAGGGCACGCTGCACCTCCTGGAGGGCGTGTGTGTGGTGTGTGAGACGGTGCCCAACCTGATGGGCGCGACGCTCAGCGTGGGCGCCGCCTTCTGCCACATGCTGCAGGGAGGCTTCTACATCCTGGCGGCGACCCTTCGCACCATCCAGATCAACCTGTTCTGCCAAATGAACGGCGAGAAAGAGAGGTGGGACAGGGAGAGGACCAGGGCCAAGGAGAGCGAGAAGAAGATGAATTCTAAAGTTCTGGAGTACATCTCGGTGTTCTGTCAGGACCCGGTCAGCGCGCTGCGCATCAAGGTCGACGTGCCGCCTGTGTACCGATAATCCCTGGAGCACCACTTCACCGGCTCATAAGAGGCCTTGGAACTGCCGACGGGTTAAAGGTGATTGGTTTGATCTGACAGGAAGCTGAACCTTGACCTTTGGTTTGTGGAAGATGAAAAAGCTTCATGGTGTGTTTTGTTACATCCGTTTTGCATTTATTGAAATGTAAAGAAATAAAAATAATAAAGGTTTCAAACCAATCAATCAGACCTCCATTCCTTCCATTTCCTGATTTCCCCGTTAGCTCACAGCTCAGTGGCTAACTTCACCGACATCATTAAAGTGCTTCTGGTTTAATTATCAGTCACCAAAAATAAACTATTCTAGTCGTAAACGTGTGTAAATATAATAAAATCATCTCAAATATATGAAAAACATGATTAGGAGTTTATTTCCACATTTTCTTGTGTCAGATAATTACAATAATTATGTTTTATCGTACTTTCTTATCATTAAAATTGTATTTAACAATGATTTAGTACTACCTGTTATAGGTGTCGTACCTCAGCTGTGAGGAAACTGATCAAATAATCATTTTGTTATGAAATCATCAGATTTATTAATTATTTAACTCTTCCCTGTTTGTTGCAGCTTTTATCTACTTGGGTTTTTCTGGGTCTCCGGCGCTCGTTAGAATATTAAACGGAAACTTTTGCGTGATAATTTCAACGTGGTCTTTCTCTCTTGAGAGTTTAGCCTCGGCAGAAAAGAGGATGGAAATGTGGTGAAGAGGAAGCACTGACGTGGATCTGCTCCGACGGAGACTAAAGTCTGGCTGCAGGCGTCGCCCGAAGGACCTGGGGTGGAACTTTTCCAGCTACAGGAAAAAAAAATCCATCAGGTTGTGATTTTATGGGCTTTTGATTTGATGTGACAGAACAAAGAAATAAAAGTACATTTCAGAATCAGACTTTGAAATCAAGAAGGTAAAATGCTTTTTTTGAGTTTTTTGAAAATCTTACAGAGGACGTCTCCAGCTCGTCCCACAGCGGCTCTGTCCACTTTGTACTCCTCGTTCTCTGATCTAAAACCAGACAGCCACAAACTGAATCACAACCTTTATTACAGTTTTATGTCAAAGTACAAAAAATGTCTAAAAACTACAATTTCAGACTCAGCTCTGGTAAAATTTACTCTGACCGGACCACCACTTCCTGTCTGGCTCCTGTCATTTCTTCATCTTCACGAAACTCCAAATGCAGTTTCCGGAAAGAGACGTGCCGTTTCTAACTACGAGTACGGTCTGAGCTTGTGTACTCACGCTCTTGTGAAACGTCATCAACGCCGGCCCAAGTACCGGTCCAGTCCTAAGTTTGCATCACGACGAGTGCGCTAAAAGTTCCCAGGTGTGTTCTTGCTCCGCCCATTGTATCGTCGATGCATCAACACATCCTTCTGCAGACTAAGGCTGGCAAGGTATCCCATAATGCATTGTGTCACACAGTTATAACCCGAATGGAAAACGGCAGATGGGAAAGGTAATAATTTAGTGTTTTTATACCAAAAATACAAGTAATTACGTCTAAGTATATAAAAAGTGGTCTGCTTCCTCTTCAGCACATCCTGAGCTCCTTCAAAGGAATCTCCTACCATCTTTATGCAGATGACATCCAACTGTACATCTCCTTTAAGCCCCATGAGATGTCTAAGCTGCAGCTGTTACACACCTGCTTAGACTCTATAAAAACCTGGATGGTGGGAGCTTTCTTCAGCTGAATGAAGATAAGACTGAGATCCTCATCTGTGCCCCAGACAAGCTGGTTCCCAAAGTCAGAGATTCTCTTGGTCAGCTTGCTTCCCACACCAAACCTTCTGTCAGTATCTTGGCGTGACCTTTGACCCAGCTCTCACCCTGGATTCTCATGTCAGTTCTCTTGTTGGCTCCTCCTTCTTCCATCTCAGGAACGTTGCTAAGCTGAGTCCCATTCTGTCCCGCTCTGAACTTGAGACGGTTCTCCACTCCTTCATCTCCTCACGCTTAGACTACTGTAACTCTCTTTTCACGTGTCTGAGCAGAACCTCCCTGAACCGTCTACAGGTGGTTCAGAACGCCTGTGCTCGGCTTCTGACCAAGTCCTCCAAACACACCCACATCACCCCGCTTCTCCTCCAGCTTCACTGGCTGCCAGTCAACTTCAGGGTTCATTTCAAGATCCTGGTTCTGGTCTATAGGGCCTTACATGGACAAGCACCATCTTACATTGGTGATCTTCTTAGTCCCTACACCCCCAGCAGGTCCCTGAGGTCCAGTGACCAAAGCCTACTGGTTGTGCAGCACCAGGCTAAAGGTCAAAGGTGACAGATCATCTGCTGCTGTGGCCCCCAGACTCTGGACCTCTCTCCCCCTGAGCCTGAGATCAGTGGACTCAGTGGTCTCCTTTAAAAAGCAGCTGAAGACTCACTTGTTCAAGCTGGCTTTTGTATGACCTTCTTCACCTCTCTCTCTTTATTCTGCTCTCCCCACCTATTCCACCTTCCTCAGGATCCACTGATCTCCCTCTTTCCTGTTCACTCTCTCTCTTTATTAACATTTTTTAATCACAATTGTCTATTTTTGCTCATTTTAAACATATTTTTAAACATTTTCTAAATGCTTTTTTATATTTTTACATGTTTTTATTTTTGTTTTTGTGAAGCGCCTCATGATTTAGAAATGATATTTTCTTCTTCTTCTTCTACTGTAGATAATGTGTAGCCAGTAAAATTTGCTTTGTGTGTTTTTTTTTCCTAGACTCTTCGTGATATCGCAATATGCTAATTAGCTAACTGACTACGGGTGTTTCTCCATGTGAAGGCGCCTTGCTTACGAGGACAATGTCCTTCCTTGGTCAAAGAAAACGGTTAAATGGAACAGACTTGCATCATGTGACTGCGGCTTCCACGGCGGTCACGTAACGTCACGTGACACAGGAGATATCGTTATATTTTATACGTATTAGTTTCAATATAAATATATAATGAGCCTTTTACGTTTTAAATTGTGTATATGTTTATTAAATTAAATATATAAGTGAGTTACTACCCGCTAGCCACCGAAGCTGCAACTACTAAGCAACTAACCAACCATAGATAACTTATTTGGATCTAAAAACATTTTAAATTAGCCGACTTACTTTTAAACTTGAACAATGTCCCCGAAGTAGCTGCCGGCTTCTGATCCGCCGTCTTTTTGAAAATACTGCGGTGTATTGTGGGTAATTTTTGACCAAGGCAAGGCTACAAGACACCTCCCGAGTATCCTTGCTCAGCTAGCTAAACGGCTAACAAACAGAGAACACGCCTCGGTAGAACATGAAGACTGGAACACGTCTTGGCGGCTCCCCATGACGTATCTCCTTGGCAACCGGGGAGGGCCAAGACATCAAGGCGAGGTTCCTTGGCTTTGAGGAACACCCCATGTCATTTTCTAACTGTAGCTAATCTGCTTGCTACCATGACGTAATGGAGTACGGTTCTGTTCCAAACACCGTCCTCGTACTCCGGTACTCGGTAGAACAGACTTTCTGCTGAGCATACCAGGAATGAACTTGCCAAGTACGCAAGAACAAAGCCGTGTACTTTGGTGTTGGGAAACGACCCATGAGAAAGCTTTCCGGAACTCCTCATCCAGATCCAGACCGCACCACAGCCGGTGTAAATGCTCTGAACGGACTAAATGGTTTTCGGTCTTTGCGAAAGCCGTACAGAAACCGCACCGCGTTTGTTTTGTGTTCGATATAAACGAGGCGTAACTCACCGCTTCACCTTCGTCGCCATCCGCAGCCTCTGCAGCGCGGACAAAACGTTTTTCTGAACGTTCGATGAAAGGACCTCATAGGTGTCGAGTTCACCTGCAGAGAAAATAAAAACCATACATGTTAGTTGAGTTTACCTGAAAGAAGTGATGGTAAAGGTCAAAGGTCACTTTTTTTTTTACCTGACAGAACAGCGTTTGTAGCCAGGGTTCGCACAGCGTGCAGGAACTGCTTCTCCGTGAAAATCTGATCTGCATCCTCACAGAGATACCTGAACATCAGCTGGACGTTTTAAAAAGTCGATTAAACCCTTTTTACATCCTAATATAAAATAATACGGACGTGAGAGGACCTGATAAGAGTTTATGAACGGCTTGAGCAGCTCCTGAAGGAACGATAACACCTCCAGGCCAGAGTCTGAAACAGTCACTTCCTGTTGGCTGATATGGACCGCTTTACATTTCTTTAGGAGATAGCCCGCCTCCTCAAAGTCCTTAAATAATTACTCAGCATCAGCAGCAGCATACAGTACATGGATCAGCACCAGCTGAGCACAGGTGAGACAGCTACCTGAGATGATCTTCCAGGAATGAAGATGAATTCATTAGAGAAAACATCCTGTAGGAAGCAGAAGTAGGCGAGGAGATCGTCTGTACAGAGAGAGGCGGAGCCTGATGAACCTTAAACTAAATAAACATTCACACATGGAGGTGGACCCCTCACCTCTCTCAGTGCTTTTTGTGACGCTCATGGCCGTGGCGAGCAAAGCTGGACGCACAAACACGTGCAGAGACTGATTACGATACGACACCAGCATCAGGGCTGCAGCAGCCGTCCTCATCACGCCCTCCTCTGGGCTGACGGGGTGTCTCCCCTCAGGCTCGCCCCCCCAAACCAAGAAGACACGCCCCGCCTTCTGATGCACAACGGTCCGATGGAGAGCCAAGGTGGACAACAGAACGTCTGAATCTGGGATTTGTTCTGCAAAAATAGTCATTATTGTTTCTGGGTGGTAATCAGGCGTTGACACGTGTCTGTGTGTGTGTGGACAGGAGACAGGAGACAGGAGACAGGAGACGGTTCAGTGGGGGTTCTTAAGGTAAGCAACTTAAACAGTATTAATCCACTAAGTGAATGTGAGCGCTTGTGCCAACTTACATTCATCTAATCTGTCTGATCTACTTCAGACCAGATCAAACGTGTGGCACAGGCAGGAGGGGCTAAGCTAGTCTGCTGCTTTTCTTGCAACACAAAAATAAATAAATACAACTAGCGCCACCTACTGGTCTCATCAAAAGGGAGTCAGAAAATCATCTGAAGAGAAGTCAGAAGTGTCAAATCTTTGTTCAGAACCCACCAGGCCAGTTCAGATGAGCTCCAAAGTCCAGAGCTAACCTTCTGAGCCAAAGCGTTTTCTCTGTGAGTCGATGCCACAGCAGACCCTGTTCTGTTAGAACTGTTGCAGGAGTCTGGAGCAGCAGGCAGGCCATCAGAGACCAGGGGCTGATCCGAGAGCCCTCCTCCTGGATCCGGACCATCAGATGAGCCATCCAGCTCACGCAGGCCTGGACGTCAGCACTGGGCTTCTGCGGAAGATCCCTGTGGGCAGAGATAGAGACGACATCACATCTAACTGCTGGAACGGATATTAGGAGAACAACACGAATCACAGGGAGATGATACCATTTACCCCTTTTTAGACTGAATGTAACAGGAAAACTCAGGCCAGACGCTTCCAGGACACATCCAGTGTTATAGCAACATCTCGCTGTTCCATCACAATAAATGCAAAAAAAAAAAAAAAAAAACGCTGCCACCTAGCAGCAGGAGTTTGAATTGCACCACACACAAGAAATAATGTAAAAGTTTGCATATAAATTCTCAATTAAAAAAATCAATATATTGCTTATAAATATCGATCCAGTATCATGAGACAGAATATCGCAATATTTCAGTGTATCGATTCTTTCTTACATATCTAATTATATAAAAAAGTTACAGAAAGTTGTTTAAAGTCCCATTTGTTATCAAATTTCATCACAGTGTGGTGAAATTTGTTCTCCGCATTTGACTCACCCCCTGGGAGAGCAAACTGAACCCTTTAATGCTGAGTGTCCAGCAGGGCCTTGTTTTTCAACTGTTTGGTATGACTCGACTGTGGATCTCCCAGTCTCAGGGCGGACACACGCACCACTAGGCCACTGAGCTGGTACTGCACATAAAATATACTTTTTATTTCTAAGTCAGGACTCTTCTCTACCTGGGTGTTAGGTTGTACTGACAGCGATTTATCTTGCCCTCACACAGCTGTCGGACAGACAAGGGACGGCCAAAGTTCACATGCATGCTGCCGTAATTCTCCTGCAGAACGCTGCTGGCCTTCAGCAAACCCTGCAAAGAGAAAAATCAGGCCAAAAGCAAATCCTTCACATTTGCATGATCTCAAATCTCAAAATGCTACTTTTGTCCTTTGCAATAGCTAGATAGGACTGTTTCTCAGTCTGTAGCTGCAAAATAAGCACTCGTGGGTTTTACTCTTGCAACTGTAAAGGCTCCTTAATACCAGTGTCTGCACCCAGAACCTACCATGGTGCTTTCTCTGGGCTTAGGGACACCCAGTAACTCGTGTGCGAGCAGCGACTCCTCAAGCACCCGGTCGTAGCTGATGCTGATGGGCACCAATGTGATGTCATACACCTCGCCTTTTAGGAAAGGCTCCAGCACCATGTGCATCATACCTGCACACACACGTATACTGCGGAGCGTGCACACACTGGATCTACACGTTAAGATACACTGCAAAAAAACATCAGATCTGCTTTAAAAGTGCAGAAGCGCTCACCTAACTTAGGTGAGATGGACTTCAGCGTCCTACTTCTGAGTCCTTCCACAAAAAATTCCAACGGAGCAAATCCTTTCTACAGAAAACACGGACACAGGTCCTAACATGCATTCATAGTACCCATTTGAAATAGTTAAGGTCTGAGAGCGCATGTGTCTCACTCTGACGACAGTCCGAACGTATTCTGACAGCACGGCCCAGTAGAGTCTATCAGAACCAATGGCACGTCGGATAAAGAACGCCCCAGAGCGGCGTAGTATCTCTCCTACAATCTTCATCCCTGCAAGAGCTTTAATGTGGAAACCGAGACAAAAGGCAGATGGAAGTGAGAGTCTGCACCTTTGTTGAGATGGTTTTGGTCGTTCTGATGATGTTTCCTCAAAGTCAAATAGATACTTGCGAATTCCTGCAGCAATTACTGGTACAGGGATGTCGTAGCTGAACATGATGTAAGAAATCACCAAGAAGTCGATGTAACTGCGGTGATTGGGCATCAGGATCACCGGATTCTCCTGAGTGGCTTGTTGGAGCTGCAACAAGAGGAAAAGTGTGTTTTAGAGTCGTGTTTCCACTAAAAAAAAAGGCCTCACAAAACCTGCTTTCAAAGTCACAAAATTACAAAAGATATCAATGCACTAAAATATATTGCACTAAAATATTGCAGTATGCCTGGGTACTAAATCTGTGGACATTGATCAAACACTGCATACCAGCGTGTGGTATATTTCTTTAGGAAACTGATCATTTAATGCAATGTTTGAATGTAATTAGGGAAAGCTCTCAGTTTCAGTTTAATGCAACAAACAGGCCTGATTATGATGCTGCCACCACCGTGTTTGATACAGTAAATTAGACTCTTATAACCAGAATTGGTCAACTTTAAGCATGACCAGGTACCGGCTGATTCAGTAGCCCAAATTTTTGTTTGGGTTTTTAAATAAATAAATAAATAAATAACAGAGTGCATCTCTGTGTATCCTGAGTGTAATTCAGTAATATAACCTGGTTTTATCACTGACCATGTTAAGTCCCTCCACGTTGACAAAAATGGCGCTGAATACCGTCTTGAACACTTTGGTCATCATGTAGGCCATCAGCCTGATAAACCGCAGCTGTAGATTCTGAGACATTTCCCCCAAAATCCCACAAACTTCTTCTCTCACCTCCTGCTCACATGACCCCGTCTCCATGGCAACCTGTGGGGAAATGGGGGGAAATGCAGGGAGGATCGGCATGTCGATGCTGCTACAGTGTCAAAGCCTCCCTTAAATGACCACCCCCACCTCTTTGGTGACGTAGCGCAGGTATTGGGACTCCAGCACGGCTCGGTGAAGCTCAGCACTGGAGCAGGGTGGAGATCCTTTATGCAGCTGAGGACTAAAGGTCCTGAGGGCAAAGCCGAGATCACTAGAGAGCCTCCTCTCCTCCAAAATATCCACAAAGTCCTCCTCATCTTGTTGGCCAGCTACACCGACATCTCTATACTGAATGAGGGAATCATATTTGTGTTAAAATCACTTACAGTTTAATATTTAACACCTTGAATCGTATGTGTTTTGCTGCAAACTTAAATCCAAGACTAAAAGGACACAGAAAGCTTTTTGGGTCGAGATAGTTTAGGAGAATTAGCCCTGTGTGTGTTACTGGGTGTAAAAATGAGTGGAACAAGGGAAAAACACCTAAATCTAACACACTCAGATCCATCTCTGTAGAAAGTTTCCATGATCATCATCTTACAGAAACTTCACATTGGATTGACTTTAATTCTTGAAGGTTTTAAAACATGTAAAACATTTCAAAAAGATGGAAATTATGTGTTGAAAAACCATGAAACTGTGATTTAAGCACGAAAATCATATTTAAGAAAAATATTAAAATACGTTTCGGGACTTTGGTTTTAAAATGTCGGCCGTGCTTTTAATTTGACATTTCATTCGGTTCATTACATAATGCCCTTTCAAAATAAAAGTTTTTTCATATAAGATAAATTCAGAAGTATGTTTTGTGTAAAACTGGCAAATCGATTGGCAACAAGTTAAAGTTGAATGCTTTCTGCTTTTTACTCTGACCCGAATTACAACCTATTAAGCAACAGCTCTTGAAATAATCGCAGATGATAGACCTGGGCCAAAGTTTAGTTCATGGCGCAGCTGCAATGGCTCTGCAGCTAATAATGCACAACTCAATAAAAGTCGTGTATATTTGTGCATATTCTGTCTAAAAAGTATTAAATAGCCTGTCGTGGTTGACCTCTGAAGCTTCTAAAGAACACGGAGCACGCAGAGAGCTCACAACAAGTGCGGCGGGAGAAGATTCCTGCTGGATCTCCGGGACTTCTTACCGTGTTTGTCATTTTGTACAATAACAGCGCTGCAGCTGGCTCCTCGCACCTCACAGACGTGACTTTCACTTGAGCGGTCCTGGCTGTCTTTCGCTCTGCGGATCGTGCAAAAACCTGCAGCTGGTGAAGACAAATGAGGCAGCAGGCTGTTGGAAACTCCTCCCAGGTGCAGCCGGGCGCTCTGCACTCAGCTCGGAACCATTGTGCAGGAGTACAACTGAGATGCATGCAAACACAAAGTGCCTGGCATTAATTTAGCGTGAACATAATCCCGAGCGTTAATAACTTGCACTTTAATACTGTAAGTTGCACTGTCATGTATTAGCTAAATGAGTAATTATGAGACATTTAATTACTAAAAATGTAATTACATACAATGGAAAATAAAAAAATATTAAAAGATAAACAAAACTCTATCATGATAATGTGGTGGGCCAACTCGCTCTATACAGGCCCCTGTAGTGGCTAATGAATATAGAAATTAATTGCTTACAATAAAGGTCCCGTTGCTAACATTGCCAAAAGGGGCGGGGCTGCTTATTATTAACACAACAGGAGACCATCCAGTTCCTGGTTATAATCGCTCCTGCCACACCTCTCATTCTTGGGTTCCCCTGGTTCCAGCTACATGACCCCCACATTTCCTGGTCAACAGGCTCCGTCTCGGGCTGGGGCCGGGACTGTTCATCTCAATGTCTTCTCCCTACTGTTCTCAGGCCAACCCCACAACCATCGTCTCTGACTAGCTCGTGGATCTGTCTCTTGTCCCTCCCGTCTGTCATGACCTGAAGGAGTCTTCAGCAAGGCCTGAGCTGCCAACCATCCTCCTCACAGAGACCATGACATGGCCGTTGACTTCTTTCCGGGCACTGTGCCACCCAGAGGATGCCTGTTCTCCTGGTCTGGTGAAGAGACCCAGGCCATGGAGCTCTACTAGCAGAAGCCCTCCAACAGGGCTTCATAAGGCCTTCCACGTCAGCAGCAGCAGGGTTCTTTCTTGTGAAAAAAAAAGATGGAGCGTTGCAACCCAGCATTGACTACCGGGGCCTTAACAAGATCACCGTAAAGAACAGCAAACACAATCTCTACACATGATTAACCTCTTCATTTTGATGGTGAAGTTTTACATCCACTGCTGTAAATATTCTGGTAAAAAACATGCTTTGCAGCATTCTTTAATACTTTCAAACAATACATATTTTCTATTGATAGTTCTGACAGACAGAAAGCTCTTGAAACTATTGAAATATGTAAAATTTTTAATGTTTTAATTTGAATACTAATACCCCTATTATGATTTGGCATTATTATTATTATTATTGTATTTTTTGTTATTATTATTCTTTTTTTAAATTTATTTTTTAATTATCTTTCTGTGACAGTGTGAGCGTCCTGTCACAGTGTCCCGATTGATCATGCGCCCTGGCTACTTGGCCAAGGGGATGTCCCTTTGGCTGACTGGTAAGCATGCGTGACTCTCACCCGGGAGTCTGGGGATCGGATCCTGCCTGGGCCCTCATTTCTACACCTTGCCACATTTCTATCTTCTTTTTTTCCATCTTCTCTTTCCTTCTAGGCATTCTTCTAGATATAAGATTCACATTGTAGCTGTTACCAAAGCTTATATATGTGTTTTTGTGAATAACTTCAATAAATAAAGAAAAGAAAAGAAAAGCAAGGACCGATACTTCCTTTTCTGAAAACATGTATTCATGAAAGTAGCTAATTTTATAACAATTAATTGATGCGCTAAAACTTAGACAAAGCAGCAGCGAATGTAAAATTATTTCAAATAATTGAAAGTTGTTAATAAAGTCATTGTGAATTGTATTCTTGATTGGGACAGCCTTCTCTGTGCACCAGGAGGTTGGGACATTGGTGCACCTTCATTTATAAGGCCATGCTTGGATTACTACCCACCTACATCCTGTAACTTCATCTCACGGAGAAGTGTAACTTCTCACAGTCTGCGTACAAATGATCAGCTGTTACTGTTCCGTTTGCTCGCACCAAACTGGACAAAAGGGCTTTCGCTCACTCTGCTCCTTCTGCATGGAACAGGCTGCAGGAAAGCTGGAAATTATCTCCTTGAATACATTGAAAAGCAGACTAGAGCCCTTGAGACGGATTTTGTTGCAACACTTTACCTAAGTGCACTTTGCTGAAGACCGCAGGGCGTGTGTGTTGGGATTAGGCCGAACTCTTTACCACCTGCTCCAGTTTCACTGGCCTAAAGGGGGCGCTGTGGGTGACCGTTTCCGTGGTTGGTTAATATGGCGTCGGCTCGGCTTCATCTGTGCTTGGCTCCGTAATGACGTCAGGATCGTACGCGCCAGAGCAGAGTAAGGAGATGGCGGATGACGAGGCCGAGCTGGACCCTGGTCCTGTGGAAAGTAAATATGAAACCGTCGAGGAACTCAGACGACGATTAGAAAATCTACAGCAAGTCGTGTTCGGAGACGGCGTCGGTTCTTTAGTCGATTCTTCTGAGTACTGCCAGCAGTTCTGCGGGGTGAGCCATTTCTGCTTTTTAACAAACATGCTAGCTGTGTTAGCTGCTGGGTGTTTATGTGAAATGTCTCATTTCTTAGGAGGCCTTCAATGGTTACTGAAACAGCAAACTCTAAATAATGAAATAGTAACTTGTATATGAAACGTTTCAAAGACACGGGACAAAGCAGTCCGTGGTAAGGTTGTTGACATGGCTTCTAGCTTGCTGCGCTAACAGCACGCTAGAAGCCATGTCAACAACCTTACGCACGCACGCACTGCGTATGTACGGGAAATGAAGTGTAATGCTGTTGTGTCTTTCTATATAAAGCTGTTGACTTACATACATTTAAATGCATTTTGATCTGGGTCACGGTTTTATCATTTTCTAACTTCATACATGGGGGCGCTTCTGCTAGCAGTTAGCATGTTATAGCTGCTAGTACGTTGATGGTCCACTATTTCTCTGGTAGAAGAAAAGAGCTGTGCTTTATCGGGTGATTGTTGTTATACTCGTATACCTTTATTGGTTGTAAATGGTATTAAACGTGTAGAGAAAGTGGTGACCGTTCTTGAGACGATGCACGTCTGGTGTACGTGCCGAGTGAAACGTACACCGTGTTTGCTGTAGCTGCAGCCTGCACAGCTTCAGGGTTACGGCTGTTTGTCAGAGGGAAGCTCGGCCCCGATCCACCAATCAGACAGGCATCATGGAGTTAGTTTATGTAGCGAGTCATTTAACGATCTCAACGTTATGGTGGGAAACAGTTTCTTAACTTCTCACAAGACCGAAATAATCAGCTATAGGGCTGCACGATTGTGACCAAAATAATAATCACGATTATTAATCACGATCATTCATCTTATCTGGTAAATTGTGTATTTTATTGCACCAATTACAAACAATGTTGCATAATTTTTCTGTGAAAAATTTAACTCTAGAAAAGATTGTAAATAATGCAAAACCCCTCCAAGAAACATCTATACTTTTATATTTCAATGTGCTAACTAACTATGGTGTTACAGAGAGCAATCTCAAAGTGCATCTGAGGAAAGAATTACAGCTTATACAGAAAAAGCCTCCTGTGTAGGTTTCATGGCCTCCCTCTGCTACTTGTTTCTGGTTTGTTTGTGGAGCTGGTGGTGAGAGGGAGCTCATAGCCAGATGTTCTTCTGGGGATAAATCTGGGTGTCGTGGGTCAACGGTACCTGGGTCGGACTTTGTTGTCCAGGAGTCCAGAAAATGTGGAGCATCTCAAGCAGCATCCCGTCTCTGACATTGCCTGTTGCTGGTGATGGTGGATGGCTCTTCTTAGGGTTGGGCATTGTTTGATTTTGAATGATTCCGATTCCAATTCCTCGTTTCGATTCCGGTTCCTATCAATTCCCGATTCAGATTCTTTCCAGACATGACATGTTTTACATGAGCCAGATAACCACAGGTCCTACTTGATGAAGTTATCTTAACTTCAATCAGAATCAGAAAGAATTTTATTGCCAGCGCTCCAGCGAACCAGAGCATAGGAACTTGACTCCACAGTACAGCCTCACCGAGATTACACACACACATATAGACAGGACAGATACAGGCAGACCGTGAGAGCAGCCATAACGGCGCTCAAGATGAATTTTAACTCTATGAACAACAACATCACCTTCATTTAGACAACAACATGTTTTGGAGACAAAAAGAAAAAGACTTGCAGCACAACCAGTGTGTTTGTTTCTGACCACAACCGAAGTCTGGAAGCAGCCTCTGGGATGAGAGGCTAAATGTCTCCAACATATCCATAAACGTCCAGCTGTTTTCAGCTAAAACTCAGGATGATCATGTCCAGGATGACTGAGAACTACACCTCCATGCTGCAGCAGCTTCAGTCACAACAGAAAGTGAAACCTAAATGCAGCTGCTGTCAGTAACAATCTTAACAGATTTTAAACACTTATGGGCTCGACACACGGGAGGTGACATCGCCTCTCCTCCATTCATTTTCAATGAGACATGCGTGACAAAGCGATAATCGCGGGTCTCCCTCCTACCAAGCGAAACGCGAAAAACGTGCATGTGAAATTTTGCGCTCGTGCACGTGTCGTGCACAGGCGACCAAGCGACGCGATCCCAGAAAGTTGAAACATTTTCAACTTTTCATCGCTGTCGCTCGGACGAGGACCAATCAACGGAGGTTTCATTCACTGACCAATGAGCGGACAGGATGCTCCGTACACCTCCGAGCAAACATGGAGGAGAAGTTGATTATTATTATGTTTTATAGTAAAATCAGAAGTAAGATTTCACATAACTCTAGCAGCACCTTGTGAAACATCATATCTACCGCTTTATTACCTCTGAACCGCTTAAATAACCTTAATTCCCTCCAACCTGACACAGCCAATCAAAACAACGGAAGTTTCGATTTCGCCATGGAACAGAACGCGTAGACGACTTTGCCGCTGGCCGCTGCCGCGGATTGCCTCCCGTGTGTCAGGTAATAAAAGCAACAGCGACAAATTTCGCTGATCGCGGTCGTCTGTCGCCTCCCGTGTGTCGAGCCCATAAAACCAAGCCCCCACAATGCCGGACAGAAATTGAGGCCAAAGCGGAAGTGACAAAAATTGCTGTTCCACCCTCATCCACTAGGGGCTGGTGTCAGAAGCTAGCAAATCCTCAATGATATGGAGCTAGGATTGGGACAATATTCAGCGTAACTTGTACCAAGTTTTGTAACTTCGAACATGTTTCATCACATGTAACTTTGGATTCGTAACTTGTAACTTTAGTTTTCTAACTTGTAATTCTCAATTCCTACTTGGATTTCTTGTTTTGTAACAGGAACGTTGTATTTTGTACATGTATTTTTTATTTTGCAAAATCAAACTTTTATTTTGTACATTTACTCATTTTGTAACATCAAACATTCATTCAGAAACTTGAAACTTTCGTTTTGTAACTAGCAGACTTCCATACTGAAAAAATCAAGGTACAAGTTTGAAATCAAAACTCTCAAAACACACATTTCATTCTACAGGTACAAACCTCAAATCTACAGTTACAGATCTTTTTGTCTCGATTCTAGCGTCAGTGGGAGGAACTTGGGTGGAAACAATGAGAGCACGAGTCTTAGCTACCAATCACGTTTCTCGAATTCCTGTCCAATCATTGGGAGAGGAGGGCAGGGTTCTGTCAGAGCTGTAGAGAGAGTTACGACACGGAATGGGGGAGTCACGTGGTTCAGGTAGCTTCGAATAGTTCCAAACAGCCCCGCTGCTGCATTGAACTGCAGTTCCTTTTCGGTGTTTCGGAAGGATTCTCTCTGGTAAGTTGATGAAATGTCATCATTTTGTTGCATTGTGAAGCGTTAGCTAACCGCTTCGTACCAAAATAAGCCAACGATGATATTTTATGTTGCCAGTTTTAGCTAGATAACCTTTAATGAGCTAACTGTGTGCAGCTTGTTGGTTGTGAGCAGGAGGACGAGCTGTAGACGGGTTTCTTTCAGCTTGTTTGATTCTACGTTTTAAAAATATTCCCCACAGTTTGAAATAAGTAATAAACTTTTTACATTATTAGTTTTATTTGGGAATATTTGTACAATACGTTGCTGTATCAACACGAACATGCATCAGAAATGGAAGCACAAGTGGAGAGACCAATAATAAAGAAAATGTGATTGTGAAGACACGTAATTATTTAATATTTTTCAGTTAATAACACTGACTGCAGCGAACTGCTGAAGCATGAGGCAAACAGGATTACGGACCTAAGAAGATATGTTGTTCTGTTTTGTGGACTCAAGTAATAAGAATAGAATTAAGATATTTCAAGAACAGTAGTCGAACAATAACTTTTTAAAAATTAGACATTTTCCATGAAACTGCTCATTTCCACTTGCTTTATAATATCAGCATTTGCTATTTTGTTATTAAGGAATGACAAGAAATAAGAATTAACAATATCATAATTATCAATAAATAAATGTCAAAGAGTAACTAAAACAAAGATCTTATGTAACCATTAAAGGTTAAACTGTGTCATGTGTCCATCTTCATGTTTTCATAGTGGCTGAGCGGAGAGCTGACCAGGAACAACGGTGGTGGCAAATCCCAGTTGGGTCTGTGATGGAGTGATGCTCGCCTGGAGTGATTACCATCTCATCCACAGTTAGGGTTGTCACGGTAACCGGTATAGCGGTAAACCCCGGTAAAAAAGTTGACAATAAAAATAACCGTCCAGTTTTTAAAAAACTATATTATCTCGGTGGGTTTACCGTGGCCGCGGTTTCGGCGCGATGACCCTTACCAGCCACCGTCGCTTCAGCTGAAGTTCCCGCGGCGCGCACACGCACTTTTTAATTTGCAACGGCACCAAAACTTTGAAGCTGAAATAATGTCCGAAGGAGGCGACGGCAGCGCCCAGGACATCCATCAGCCCTCAAAGAAGACTAAATCGGAAGTATGGGTATATTTGGGATTTCTGAAAAATGCTGAGGGACAGTTAATAGAAGACGGCTATCCCGTTTGCAGAACGTGCAGGAAACAAGTGTCTGCAGAAGGCAGCAACACTTCAAATCTAATGGCACATCTGCGTGACCATCACCCGCGTCTCCACAGCCAGTGCAAGGTAAGATAACATTAGCATTTTAGCTTAAATGCATGACGTGAGGACTTTTGGTTGAGGGAGAATGCAACGAGTCACTATATACTGCAGCCGCAGCGTCCTCTGGCAGCATTTAAACCGTGTCACGGACACCCTGTTGCTGGATGAAGCATCTTATTTGTTGATGATGAAGAGAAATATACAATTAGTTCCTTGTCATGGATTTGTTTACTTATTCAATGCCATTTATACTTGAACATTTGGATTTGATTACATAGTGTAGTAGTTATTTTAGTAATTTGTTTAAAGTGGATATTTATTTTAAATACACATTTTTTAAGGTTGACTTGTACAGCGCTCAAGTCAAGTGTGGACTGGAGTTTTAGATTTTCATTTTGATAATGAAGAAAACAAGTATATGAGAAAAC